CCCAGTACTGCAATCAATCGATCCATCAATCAATGCATTTTTACATTGCTTTTTAGCTTTAGGAGTTGCTATGTCTAACTCTGATACTTCAGTCTTCTACGTGAACTGTTTTTATTTGCTTTTTTTTTTTTTTTTGGTACCAAGAGTCGAACTCACGATCTAACGCTTGCCAGGCAGGCACTGTGCCGCTGAGCTAAATCCCCGGCCCTTTTATTCGCCTCTTTAAAGTGTCTTTTCTCTTTGGTGCTGGTGCTGTGGAATGATGTAGAATCTGTTCTGGTCACCAGCACATGCTTTCAGTCGCCCTGTCGGGAAATCCAAGTCTTTTGGTCCTGAGACTTTTCCTTACACATTTTCCCTTTGAAAATGCTCAGCTTGTGTTTTTCCCCCCAAATATTAATATTAAGCAGTTGTTGGGCTTCTTCAAATGCTTTCTCATTTTCTTTTCTCAAAGCGGCCTTTTTTTCTCTGTGCTTTTATTCTTTCTTTTTCCCTACTATTTTTTTCTGGTTCACAGTCATCAGGTTTCCTTTTCCTATCTTTGGGTGTATTATTTATTGCCTTCGTTTGCTTCTTAGTCTTCTCCAGTTCCTCACCCTGGCTCTGTCCGCTCCAAGCCCTGTGTCCTGTGTTTGGTCCCTGGCATTGATGAATGAGTTTTCCCCAGGCCTCTGCCGCCTGCTCCCGCTGAGGACTGAAGTCCTGCAATTTGATTGGCACTTTATGAATATGGGTGGGGCTTATAGGCTTTGCTGGCTGGTGATTGGGCAGCGACCTAGGGGTTTGTTTCGGATAGCTGGTTTTCTTCTCCATAGCCCGCTCGTCTTCCCCAAGTAGAGAAGTCTGTTGTCTCCTTCCCTGGGAAGATGAGCATGGCTGCTGATATTCTAGGAACCTGGTGCTGGTACGAGGATGAGGTGGAATCCTCCACATTCAGATCGCAAATTTTCACTCATCTCCCCACTTTTCGGTCTGGCCCTTCACCATGCCTCCATTCTACTGGTGCTCCAAGACCAGCTGCTTTTCAACTCAGAACAACTCCTGCCTGTGTCCTGTGGATATCTGAGGGAGTCCTTGCCTGGTGTTTGGGAAGCGGGTAGAGGGCCCTCGAGGAGTGACTGCCTCATAATCAGACTTGCAGACGGCCTTCCTAGTTTTGGCTCCTGTGTACCCAGCCCCCAGCATCTGAGCTTCTCCGTGGTTCTTTGGGGAGAATGGTTTTGCTGAATTAATTACTTCTTCATCTCTTCTTGAGCTTTCACATATGTGTTGGAAATTGTCTTCTATTCTTTTTTTTTTTCCGTTACCTGGAACCGAACTCAGGACCTTGCGCTTGCCAGGCAGGTGCTATGCCGCTGAGCTAAATCCCCTGTCTTCTATTCTTGACTCTTATTTTTGCCTCATGAGTTTGTATTTTTAAAAATTCCTTAATGTCATTGTAGAGGGATTTTTAGCGGGAGGCAGACAGAAAGACCTGTTGAGTTGGCCGTGTCAATCCACACATTCTCCAACAGATCTGAATGTGTGTGATGGGTTTCATAGGCCCAGCTTTGGCTGTATGACATTTCCTAAGTGGATGTTGACTTTATCTTTATGGTACTGCTCATGGAGTCAGCAGAGATGGAAAAGGTGGTACTATACCAAAAGTAACTGTGCCACTCACCTCCTTCCCTATCTTGGGTGCTTGTAACATTTTCAATTTAAGACGTCTCTTGCTGATGGTGGCACACACCAGTAATCCCAGCACTCGGGAGGCTGAGGCAAGAGGATCAATGCAAGTTCAAGACCAGCCTGGGCTACAAAATGAGCTCAAGGCCAGCCTGAACAGCATAGTGAAACTGTGTCTCAAAAAAGAAAGTCTCTTGAGGCTTCCATGGCCTAAAGGACTTAGTGTTTGTTAAAACTCATGTGCTATCATGATGGTCCTTAAATAAAAGACAATAGAGTCTGGTCTTCTCAGTTTCATTCTGTGCTTTTCATAGAACATTAGAAAATCAAACACTGGAAACCAAGAAGAGAATTGGTCTTATGTGCTTTTTCTATATGCTTCTTCATCTTTTTATTCTTTTTCATTTGCAGCTCCATCAACAGCACCTTTAAACATCACTGTGTTTCTGAACGAATCTGCTAATAAGGTGGACATCAGATGGGTGCAGCCTCCAATTAAGCGGCAGGATGGGGAGCTGATGGGCTACCGGATAGCTCACGTGTGGCAGAGTGACAGGACCTCTGTAAGTCTGAACCGTCAGCGTGTGCGTAGTCATCTCCTTGTGGCTTGTTGATTTGTCTCCTGCTATGGACTGAGCCAGGCAAGGCACCTTTCCATGGGACATAAAGAATACTGTGAAAAATTAAGGTGACTGGATAGTTGGAAAGTTATAAGGATTCTTGGGCTGGGGATTTAGCTCAGTGGCACAGCATCTGCCTGGCAAGCGCAAGGTCGTGAGTTCAATTCCTGGTACTGGAAAAAAAACAAAAAAAAAAAGAAAGTTATAAGGATTCCTGGGGGGGACCTTCCTCACTCCCTCATTTAGGTACTGAATAGATAGATACGGAATGCCTCTCCTGTCATCATCTGACTCTTCTTCCTTTTCAGGGAACTTAGGCTTACAAGGAAGTAGTGTGGGCCACCTAGGAAATCATAGCATGAGGTCAGGGAGCTCCAGAGATTAGCAGTCTGGCAGTTCATAGTCACTTGGAAATTTCTAAAGATTCTTTCTTGAAAAAGGTTGCTGGGGAAGATCCTTGGCCTCATGGAGAATGGTGAGGGGTAAACAGACTTCACAGTAAAGCACTAAGGGAGTAAGATGGCAGCCTGGCACATCTGCATAGGGGTCAAGGTTAGACAGGCCAGGGAAGGCAGCTGGTCACTCGACACAGCACACAGCAGAGCGCCAGCCAGGTAGCAGGAGTCCCCGGGGCAGTGTGATGGGCCCAGGTGGTGGGTTGTGCATCTGAGGGTCCTCAGGCCTCCCTGACCTACCGCCTCGCCTTCATGACCAGGCCCAGAATGGCTCAGTGTAAGGGGATGGTTAGATCTTGAGCTTGGTACCTTCAATAAGGCTATACAAAGACCCTGGGGGCCTGTCCCAAAGGAAATCTCTGTTCCAGCAAAGGTGGTACTTGATCTGGGCTTGTGTATTAGTTGGAAGTCTCCAGAGAAACACAGCCAGCACAGTATGTATTTATATAGAGATTTATTATAAAGAATTGGCTCATAGTTGCAGAAGTTGAGAAGGTTTACCATCTGCTTTCTGCAAGCAAGAGCCCCAGGGAAGTCAGTGGTGTAATTCAGTCCAAGTCTGAAGGCCTGAAAAGCGGGGTGGCCAAAGGATAGAACTCAGTGCAAAGGACAGGAGACCAATGTCTCAACTCAAGCATTCAGGCAGCAGAAAAGGGGAAAATTCCTCTTTCCTCAGCCCTTTGTTCTGTTCAGGTCTTCAGTGGATTGGATGGTGACCTCACACTGGGGAGGGCCATCTGGTTTACCTTGCCCCCTGACTCAAATCCTGCTCGGATCTGGAAGCATCCTCCTAGACATATCCAGAAGTAATATTTAGTCAAATAACTGGGCACCCCTGTGACTCGTCAAGTTGTCACACAATTAACCATCACAGCTGGGTGTAATTTGGACAGGCAAAGATGCAGGATCTTGGGGTGGGCAAAGATAACCTATGAGAAGGTGCAGTACGACAGCTTTAAAGGAATCATGACTCACTCAAAGGCCTGGCACATGGATCCTTTCACGAGAGCTTGGTATGAGGTGAAGCTGGATTGGGGAGGTGGGAGCCTAAATTGCATGTCTGTGAAAGGTGGGCTGAGGCAGAGAGAGCCCGGTGGATGCTGAGGGAGCCGGTGAAAGGTCTGACCCTGGAAGTACAACTTGAGACTTAAGTATTTCAAAGCTGGCTTATGTTAGTCTTCTTTTATGAGTAAATAATTGAGTTTATTACTGTAAGTAACCTTCAAATCTGCCTTATTTCTGCACAAGCATGTTGACCCACCTAGTCTACAAAGACTGACCAGGGAACTTAGCACCTGGCTCCTGCCACTGTCCAGGAAGGTTTTCTTGCTCACTGAGAATGTCTGTCCTAATTTCACATGGTTTATAGTAGCACATATGAGTGGAAGTGGTGGGGATGCGGTACAACCATGTGTCAGACAATTCTTATCATCTAAGGCTTGGATTCAAGTTTTAATTCAGTTTTCTCCAAGGTGAGTGCTAATTATATTTGACAATAGCAAACATAAGGTAAAGGGGATCTCTGAAAATGGGACTGCCTTTCTAGGTACCAGCCAGACCCAGAGGGACATGTGAAGTCTAAAGATCACTACGGTGCTAGGAGCCTCAGTCCAGACTCGAGGCAGAAGCAGGGGAGGCCACTGAGTGATGACGCCTTGCTGTGGTTGGGTAGACAGCTTCCAGAAAGGGCCCCTTCTGGATAAACCCGAGTCGTTTGTGGGACAAGCGATGTACCTTGAGAACATGATGTTGAGTGACATAAATCAGATGCACAGCTTAAATGTCACGTGGTTTCTCTTGTATGAGAAGCCCAAAATATAAGTAAAGAGCAAAATTAAAGACAGATAACAGGAAACGGAGACAGATCTTTGCAGTGGGGAAGGGAACCAAGAGATGGAAGGGAAGGAGAGGAACAAAAAAACTAAGATGCGTTTTGCACATGTGCCAACTCCCCACAGGGAATGTGATCATTATGTCCTGGAACATGTACTCATAAAAGTGAAAATGAAAAAGAAAAAAAGGAAGGTCTCCTTCCCTTCTGGGAAAGGAGGAGAATTGAGTTAGTGCTGAGTCCGACGTGGAACTTCCATGGAAGGCAGATACCAGGGTTTCTCTTCTTTACTGTCGTCAGGGAAAGCACACTTCTGCTGTGTGGTCCTATTCCTGACCAGTTTAACCCTGCCGATCGGTCCCAGTTTGAGCATCTTCATGCCATGGACAGGGGGCTTCCCGCAGAAGTAACTCAGCCTCTTGGCAAGAGAGCGGCCCTGGATGAAAGGCTGGCGAGCTACACCCCTTACTGATGTCCAAGCTCTCTTCCAATCATACTGCCTTCCCGGAGAGTTTCAGACGTACTTTATTTCTTCAGTATGCCATAGCCTAATGGGTACGCTGGGTTTTAGCTTTCGCATCGGTTACGAGTTGGTTTGAAACAGTGCATTATCACAGCCGCTGGCATGATTATCGATGTCTCCATTCGAGGTGACTGTCAGGAGGGGACAGTTCCATTCTGTTCCAACTCCAGTTCATGCTGCTGTGTATGAGCGCACAGCAGTAGCCAAAGCGACTGCACTAGCCAATATGTCATTACCGCATTTGTCACGGAGATCAGACGTGTGTTTCTGGTGGCTCTGCCTTGCGATTGTTTGCTGAATGCTTCAGACTTGGAGCTGGCTTAGTATGTTTTTAGTTAAGGGAAACATTTTGGAGCTGAAGCTAGAACTGCAGCAGTTGCAGCTGCTGCTTTGGTGCAGATCCACTCCAGGTGCCCTGGAGACAGCCAACAGCCCTGGAGAACAAAGATATCCGACTATTTTCAAGTTTATATCATCCCATGCTTATTGGATAGGGTTTGTCCTTTTTCCTTTCCTTTCCATCAGGAAGCAAGTAGTAGAACAGTAGGTGATGGGAGTAGAGAAAAAGAAACAGGGCTCAGAGGTCCAAATTGTGATTGCCCATCAACTGATGAATGGGTAAAGAAGATGGGTTATTTTTTTACATAATGGAGTACTGCATAGCCATGAAGAAAGATAACGTTGAGATAGTTCTAGGTAAATGGATGCACCTTGAGATGATACTCTTAAGTGAAATAAATTGGACACACGTGTGTAAATGCTGCATTGCTTCTCCGGTATGAGAAATCGAAAGCATAAATAAGGATCAAAATGTATAATAGATATTGTGAAATAAGAAGAAAATGTTCAAATGGGAAGGGGAACTAGGTGGGGGGAGGGGGAGAGGGGGAAAGGATAAGAAAAAAAGAGAGAAAAGGAAAAATGGAAGCAAAGCTTTTGTAAATAAGGAGGGGAAGAGGGGTTGGAGAGAGGGGAGGGGAATAGGAAAAAAAAAGAATCAAGATGTGTCATATACAGGTACAAATTCCCTATGATGAACTGATCATTATGTATGCCTAATATGTACCAATAAACTTCATTAATTTTTAAAAATCCTAGTACTATAAAGAAATAAGTTGAATGTTGAACAGTAGTAATCAGATATCTTGCTAGACGGGGAGGTTGAAATAGGGTCTCCTCCCAGGCTGGCACTGAACTCTATAGTCTTTCAGCCTCAGCCTCCTGAGCTGGGATAATTTTAAACCAATTAACACTCATCTGGAATGGGCTGGATCAAAGATTGTAGCCCTGGTTCCAAAGGGGTTTGGGGTGACTCTGCTTGTGGTATGTGAGCTGTTTATCAACAAAGGTGCTGCCATATTTGTTATAGACAATCCACCTAGATAACAATTTAACCCATTTTTACATTTAAGGAATGCAACATGGGTAAATAAACGTTTAAATAATCTGCTACTTTGGACAGCTTCGAATCAAAATTTCGTGGCCCATCTGGGCATGATGGCACATGCCTGTGAGCCTAACATTCAGAGAGGCTGAGACAGGAAGATTGCAAGTCCAAACCCAGCGTGAGCAATTTAGTGATTTGGCAAGAGCTTGTCTTAAAAAATAATAATTGTATTTTATTTTTAAGGAATTTGTACTTTTATTTGCAGCACAGAAATGTTATATTCATCTTGGGGAGTTGGTACATGTACACGACACATCTTAATTCTTTTTACTTGCCCTTCCCCTTCCCTGCCTCAAAAATGAAAAATTTAAAACAAGAGAAAAAGTCCGTGTTGTGCTGCCTCTTGTGAGTGACGACTGTGTTGTCTGTCGCAGTAGCACCTCTGTTTCACAGACATCGAGACCACGGCCACCAGAGCAGCTTCTCTTTCCTGCAGCCTGCCCCCAGGTCTCTGTGCTGGGCATACTGAGTCTCCTGGGGAAAGGCTTTTGATTCACAGTGCTCAGTGCAGATACATAAAGGTGCAGTCATGATGCTTCGATTCAGTAGAATTTGTCTTCCCTGTTGGCAAAAGAAGAGCAGTTCCCAATAGACACATGAGTGCTCTCAGAACAAACCAGTGTGTTACAAGAGCCGCAGGTCACCCTTCCCACTTCTCCCGGCGTGGGTGAAAGCCCCTTTTCCAGAGAGGACGTCTTGAATGGAAGCAGGCAAAGGGCAGTAGGGATGGAAACTGTGGGAATCACTGTGGCCAGAGAGGCAGTGCGCTAAATGCCATGAACCCTCACTGTGCTCACTGCCCTTTGTTCAGACAGGTCCCCTCTGCGCTGAGAACAGTACTGCCACAGTTAGGGCTGTGACCTTTCCCGTCACTTACCTCCTTGCAGATGCCAAACCATCCCAGTGAGAAAGTCACTTGCATTGTACTCACTCTCCACTTTGTGCATCATGGTGGTCTTGTGACAACAAAAGACCTACTGGCTCACGTTCCTTTGGGAACATGCTGACACAGCTAAATTCATCATCTATAACTAGAGGCAAGAAAGAGCACCGAGGAGACCTCGAGAGGGGCCCCATGCCCGTGCCAAAGAGAAACTCACAGTGATCTCGGCATCGTCACTCTCCAGAACTCCCCTTGCCTTGGAGGGCGTGGCTTAGGACGCAAGTTCATCCCTCAAAATGGCCCTTTTATTTCCATTTTTAGAAAACTCTTCCTAAAGCTACTTCTTCTTTATGCAAAGTAGCAGAATTGAATATTTTGAAATTTCTTATAATTGCAGTAAGACTGGAGGTTTTGTGTGTGTGCAATATGAGAACTTTCTTGGAAGTGGACTTCTGGTAGATTTTTAAATTTTTTTTTGGTACTGGGAATCGAACTCATGACCTTGCGCTTGCCAGGCAGGCACTTGTGCCACTGAGCTATATCCCTGGCCCCATTCTGGTAGATTTTTGCAGCTACACTGAAAACTGGTACTGGTACTGGTACTGGTACTGGTACTGTGCCAGTTAATCCTGATTGTTAATTTGAATGAATTAAGTCTGGAGAATTGATTAGGTTTTAAGGGCAATGATCCCATTAACGGGCTAACCCTAGCTAGAGGTCATGGACATATGACCTAGGGGGCAAGATCTGGCTCCTACCCTTTTCCTCACTGTTCTACCCCTGATCTCTGCTTTCTTGGTGCCAAAATTTGAGTAGTTTTCCTCAGCCATGTCCTTTCACTATGATGTTTCTGCCTTAGTTTTTTTTTTTGTTTTTTGTTTTTTTTTTTGGTTTTTTTCCAGCACCAGGAATCGAACTCACGACCTTGCACATGCCAGGCAGGTGGCTGTGCCGCTGAGCTAAATCCCCAGCCCTGTTTCTGCCTTAGAACACTCTCCAGCCATGGACTGAGCCCTCTGAAACATGAGCCAAATAATCCTCTCCTTTCAAGTTGTGTCAAGATTTTATCTCAGCCATGGAGAGCTGACTAATATTCGTACCTTTGTCAGCCAGCAGATGTTACATCATTTGCAGACTAAGCACCTCCTGATTTTTACTATTACTGAAATATTATTATGTCTCAAGATTTTTACTTTTTTGTTTTATTCTTCTTGATATCCCCTACCTTCCAAATCAAAGCTCAAACCCAAAAGCAAAGACCAATACCAATCTGTTCACTTTGAAGTTGGTGTCGTGTCTTGTTTGTCTCTGTACTGCCTGAACACAAGTCCTTGAACTTACTTTGTAGATATTTATGGTACTAGAGACTCAGTACTCAGATATCTATGATACTAGAGACTATGCACGGGCCCAAGACACACACTGAGTGTACACCTATATCATCCAAGCCAACTGGAGAATTTCTGTGAATGGGCCAGTCCTCTGAGAAGTGTGGACTGGCATTTCCCACCCTATCCCTGTTCCCGTAAAATGTCAGTGGACCTTCCATGAAAGAGTCCATTGAGCAAATAAATTTGTAGAATGCTACATTAAAAAAAAACCCTTTTTGAAACCTACAGTATATACTGGTGAGTTTAAGGCTCTTTGTTGTTCAGCAGTAAATAGGTCTTGACCCAGAATTGCCCAAACATTAGATGGGAAGTCATTTTTATATATGTGGTTTTATGGAGCTGGTTTTGGGATTGAGGCTCAAATGCTGGTTCATCTATGTTTCCTGAGTAGAGATCTTACATTAGAGGGCAGTGTCATAGCAGAGATTATTATGGGCTTGAAACATCATTCCATGTAGAACCAACTTCCTGAAAGACCCAGGGCAGCTGCAGTGCACTCAGGGATTCTTTGGACCTAGTCCTCTGGCTCCTGATAAGCTTACCAGTGGCTGGCAGGGTGACAGGGATGCACATGGATGGTGGCACGTGCCCACTCCCTCTGCCATCTCACTTAGTCATTTAAGCTGGTGTTACGCTAAGGTGTGAGGAATGGACAAGATTCCCATGAGACAGCTCAGGTAGGTGTCCAAGGATATTTTAAGATGCGACAGTCCTTGACATGTTTGTAGAATGTGTTACTAGTAAGCCTTGGGCACCATGGTTGTCATACTTTGAGATTCAGAATGACCATGAGCAAAGTCATTGCTATACTAGGTAGCATTTACCCTGGAGCCATGCACTTTTCTAAGAACTTAATACAGGTTAGCTCTTTACCTTTGTCTACTTCCTTAAGAAATAAGAGATAGAGATAAAAAAGTAAGTAGTCTGGGTTTTCGTAAAAAATTATAGGTCTTAGGTAAATAGACATTTCTCAGGCCTCTCTATCCATGGCTTCTGTATCCATGGATGTAACCAACCACAACTTGAAAATATTCAGGAAAAAAATGGTGTCTGTCCTGAACATGTGAAGAATTTATTTTCTTGTCATTATAACCTAAAAAATACAGTACAACAACTATTTATGTTGTATTGAGTATTGTAATTAATCAAGAGATGATTTGAAGTAGGTTCTATGAAGATATTTTGTGATTCTTACATAAATGACTCAGGCATCCATGGGTTTTGGTATTCAAGGGAGGCAGCTAGAACTAATCCTCATAGATACAAAGTAATGAATTCACTTTTCTGCATATTTCCAAGAGGATAATTTTGGTTTTGTTAGAATTTTTATTCCTGTAGGCATTGCATTATTTCCCAGTTGTGTGTTTCCTCTTATTTTGAGATAATTTTTCTCATAGATGATGTTTATTTATGTCTCTATAGGAAAAAGAAAAAACATGCAGCCAGAAGCAAGCTAGTGTTCCTTTTCAGTTATAAAGTTTTGCATTTGAGGAGCTATTCGTCAGTCGGTTGTGAAGTAGACATACTACTTATTTCTCAGCAATAGTCTTGAGTCACCACATGGCTCCAAGGCCATAGGCATAGACCATGGAGTTACTCTATCTGATGATTTTCTGTCCACCTACCCCCAAGTTAAATACAGGGCGACAAAATAAATCATCAAAATTAGGTTTACTATTTTTTTATTTTTTATTTATTTATTTATTTTTTTGGTTTTTGGTTTTTCTCCGGTACCAGGAACCAAACTCAAGACCTTGCGCTTGCCAGGCAGGCGCTTTGCTGCTGAGCTAAATCCCTACTATTTTTTTAAAAGTTCTATTTCTAAAAAGGATATCCCCAGAACAAAGCCCCCAAATTGTTAGTTATTCATTTGTTTACTGAATTAACAAAAAGATCTGTGACAAATCTCGTAGGCTCATAGGACAGTGAAATAGAAAAGCCCTCATATTTTAACGTACTATTTCGACTTTTATTTCTTATCAGTGTCTTGATGGCCACCTTCTGTTTAAGTTTAGAGGTATTCTCTGGGGAGCGACCCAGCTGCCCCTTGGTCTGAATGCTAGGACTGGCCTCTCCATAAGGGCCAAGCTGGTTCCACCCTGTGCCGACTCTAGAAGTGACTGGCTTGAGACCCGGTAACCAGGGAATAAAGTTACTACCAAACCATGCCATGATCCCTGGTACCTGTGTCCCATATTACCTGATATTTCTCCCTTTGTCTCTCTGAAATCACATTTCCAAAATTTGGAGGGAAACACACGTTCCTAGGGCTTCATTTCAGCCTCCTCAAGCCCTCCAATTTCCAGCAGCTAGCTCCAAACACAAAATTTGTTTCCTATCTCAGAGAAAATTGTGATTGTGGAGATTTGGAAACAAAAGGGGAAAAAGTCATATAAACAATTAGTTCTGGTTATTTTTTCCCCCATGGTTTGGCTTTGCATTTTCTTTTCTGAGACAGAGTCTTACTATGTGGTTTGGACTGGCCTTGAACTCACTATGTAGCCCAGGCTGGCCTGGAACTCATGATCCTCCTGTCTCAGCCTCCCAAGTGCTGGCACGACAGGCGTGCACCCCAACGCCTGGCTCCCCTATGCTTGAATGCCTCACTGTTGCATGGCAGCAACTTTAAAACAACACATATGAAAGTAAAACTGAAGTTTTGGAAATTGAGCAAGTTGTGCCTTTGTCACACGCAAAAAAAGAAAAGTAGTGTCAGTGCCCTCCTCCATGTGGATTTTATTCAAATTTCTTACAGTCTCAAAGAACAGAAGGCCCCTCGCGCTGCTTCAAAGGCAGTTGGCAGGTGGAGCATGTCTACAGACAGTGTGGCTCTGCAACCTTGTGCTGTGGCATTTCTGCACACAGGAGGCACTGCTTTATGCTTCCTTTCTTCCAGAAGCTTCTTTCCTGACCATTGTTCAGTGCCATGTGACGCTAGTTTACCCAGGCCCCCAAGGCCTGAGGTTGCTGCCAGCCTACCCAGTGTTGCTGTTCACCTTTTGGTTCCACTGGCTGTGGTGTGAGGGAGGAAGGCGCTCTGTGGAAACATGGCCTCTGCTCCCCAGGCCATGGGTGGGTCAGTTTCCCTCAGAAGGAGCTGTGGGCAAGCAGTCAACCTACCCTGGCTCCTCAGTACTTCATTTCCTTTTCCCTTCTCTGTCTCCAGAAAGAACTCTCCGAAGAAGTCGGCCAGAATGGCAGCCGGGCTCAGATTTCTGTTCAAGTCTACAATGCCACGTTCTCAGTGAGGATTGCAGCTGTCACGAAAGGCGGAGTTGGGCCTTTCAGCGACCCGGTGAAGATATTCATCCCTGTGCATGGTGAGAGCAGGGCCCTTACTCTTGGGTAGAATGTGGCAGGGACTGCAGACTGCCAAAGGGTAGCCTGTAACATGGCAGCTGATTCAAGAATGAAAAATAAGGACTCAAAAGAACTTTTGCAGGAATAAAGATTATTGTTATAACATACTTCTGTCTCGAAGACTCCCCATACCCATGAGTCCTATTCATGGTGATAACATATTAGGAAGATCTGTCCTTTCAGAATGTCAAATCTGACTTGTTGCATGCACTTTAAGCGAGAAATACGTGACTGAATTTCAGACAGGTAATATGGCTAATCCTTATCTCCCTGTCGCTAGGACTATTTATTTGCCAGGGTTTGTTTTACTGTGTTTTAGGCCATGCTGCTTGACTTGTTTTTACCCGTTCAGCCTTTGGGTAATGTGCTTTGTGACTTGGTCTGCACAGAACATCAAGTGTTTCTGACAGAAGCTCTGGGCTGACTGAGCTACATGTCCAACCGTGCATACTTTTGTGTGTTGTTGGAACCTTTTGGCAAGGTGCCTTATGGTGCCCCAGGTGGCCCAAGTGCTGTGCTTGCTTTGTAGGCCAGTGGAGCCGCCTCTCTTCCCGCTCAGATCAGCCTTAAATCATTTGATGTTAAGCCACTGTCATAAAACCCACACACAGACGTCTATATCAGTGTGACCTATATGTTTACAAGTTCTTATCAAACACAGTCTCTGTACCAGGCGGCAGTACTTGAGGATGTGGTTGAGTTCCTGTCTGTCTGTTCTCAACGACCCTCACGCTGGTCTCCCTCTCAGTGCCACGTTGGAATCGTGTTATGTCCCTGCAGTCTGTAGGCTCAGCACCTAAGGAGCACTAGTTACTCGTGATGGGGACCAAGTAGAAATCCAAAGACAGTGAGATTCTGATTCTAAAGAAACAGTTTAAAAAAAAAAAAAATCAGGGCATAAGCCTGTACAACTTTCACTGTCAAGCATAATAAACTCTCTAGAATTTGTAAAAGGTTTGCCATGCAGCCCGTCTGTCTTGGTTACTTTTCTCTCATGGCTGAGACAAAATACCCAATGCCAAAAATGAAGGAAGGAAAGGTTTACTTAGCTCACAGCCTGTGGAGGTTTCAGTCCATACTTGGCTGGCTCCAAGGCAGGGTGGCACATGGCAAAGGGCAACAGTTCATGGCGGTGGAAGATAGCAAAGCAGCAAGCAAAATGGAGGAGTGGTGGCAAGCAGCCCCTTTCTCTCTCTTACATATGCAAACTATCCTGCCCACCCGGTGGGTGTAGCACTCATACCCATAATCCCAGCATTGGATCATGGATTAGTCATCAACTCTAAAAGCCTGCCCCATGACTGCATGAGGCTTTGGGGGGACCATAACACAGTCTTTGTTTTGTACTGCTCCAGTATGCATAAATATAAGTTATCACAATTCTCCAACTGTATGGTTCCAACATCAGTTAAACTCCCCACTGGCTTTCAGTCCACACGATGCACACAGACGTGCATGATCATTGTGACCCGTCACATCACTCCTTTCAAAGTCTGCCGCCGACTGTGGCTGCTCACCCAGCATTCTGTTCATGCACATCCTGCAAAGGCTCGTGGCTGTGTTGCCTCCCTGTGTCCCGGTGACAAACCTACATGACTTTATGAAACTGGAGCACTGAAAAAGTGAGCTGATGAACCAAGTGCAGCCAAGAAATTCCCCGAGGTGAAATTTGACCTGAGTGTAAGTGGACTGTAGCATGCTGGTACCGGTAGCATTTGGTCAACTCATTGTGCAGCCTGCGCGACTTAGGGAATGAGAGCAGTGGCTGTGACAAAGTGGTTGAAAGCGTCCGAGAGAAGGTGGCACCAGCAAAACACTTCACCTTACGGGCTGGGGGTATGGCTCAGTGGTAGAGCACTTGCCTCCCTCATGCAAGGCCCTGGGTTCCATCCTCAGCACCACGGGAGAAAAGACGAGAAGAATGGAAAGGAAGGGAAGGGAGAAAAAAGAAAGAAGAAAGAAACATTATAGGAATTCTCAGTGACATTTTACAGTTTTGAAAGTATAAAGTGTAAAACACTGGAAGTTGATGCAAACTTGAGAAGAAGTCTGATAATTCTCCAAACAATGTATTTTCTGTGCTATAAATTACAGTCATAGAGAAGACACACTGTTCAGGTTATTCCTGATTTTTTTTTGCAAAGAACACTCATCTCTCTTTTTTTTTTTGGTTTTTCTCCGGTACCGGGAATCGAACTCATGACCTTGCGCTTGCCAGGCAGGCGCTGAGAACACTCGTCTCTCATGTTCCTAATGTTTTAAATTACAGGGCACCAAGCAAATACTTCTGTTACTAGTTATTTTGGTCCTGTACATTTATAGCCCACACGAAGGGTTCTCTACTGGTTATTTTATTGTTTTTTTTAATTGTGTGTATTTATGGTGCATAATGTGATGTTTTGACACACATATGCTTTGTGGAATGATTAAATCCATCTAGTCTTGTTGATTATTAAGAATGCTAGCTGAGTGTGGTGGCACACGCCCGTAATCCCAGCACTTGGGAGGCTGAGGCAGGAGAACTGTTGCAAGTTCGAGACCAGCCTGGGCTGCAAAGTGAGCTCAAGGCCAGTCTGAACTCCATAGCGAAACCCTGTCTCAAAAAGAAAAAAAAAAAAAAAAAAAAGAATGCTATGAGCTGGAATGGTGGCAGATGCCTGTAATCCTAGCATTTTGGAAGACTGAGGCAGGAGGATTACATATTTGAGTCCCACATGGGCAATTTGGCGAGACCCTGTCTCAAAATGAAAAATTTAAAAAACTGAGGATACAGCTCAGTGCAAAGGCCCTGGGTTCAATCCCCAGTACCACACACAAAAAAAGGAAAAACTATGCCTGGTTTCAGCTTGCATAGAGAGGATTGCCTGCATTTCTGGGTCACAAGATTAAAGGATTAGGCAGGTGTGGTGTCTCACTGTAATCCCAGTCCGCAGGAGGCTGAAGCAGGAGGATTGCCATGAGTTTGAGGCCAGCTTGGGCTACACGGTGAACTACACAGAAAGACCCTGTCCCCGACTCCCCACCCTCCAAAAATTAAAGGATTAACTTAGTTCTAAAAGCTTTCCACTGTCCTTTCCTATTAAAGCCGGTGTTACTTGTGTGTTTTGACTCTCAAAGAAATGTTAGAACTGATTTCATTGGTATTTTACCAGGTGAGGTAGACTATGCCCCGTCGTCAACCCCAGCGCCTGGCAGCACCGAGCCTGTGCTCATCATCCTCGGCTGCTTCTGTGGATTTATTTTGATTGGGTTGATTTTATACATTTCTCTGGCCATCAAAAAAAGAGTGCAGGAGACAAAGTTTGGGTAAGTTTCCCTGTGACAAGTGTTGGTCTGGTGATACTGAGGAGGTGGTTGTGCCGAATGGCAAAGCCTCCTCTTGGCCCTGCTGCTCAGGTTGTACCCAAATGGGCGCCAGGTTTGTGCACACCCTGTGGCCGGGCAGCCTCCAGACTTGGGCCACTTCCGGCAACAGCAGCCACCAGGGAGAGCCAGCAAAGGGTGCTTCGATGGAGAAGAGTATCAGTAGGGCTTCCCTGCTCAGACGAGGTTGCTGTTAAATAAGGGTTTCTATTAAAAGCCTTTAAAAGGACTCCAATAAGCACACACCTGTAATCCCAGAACTCTGGGAGGCTGAGGCAGGAGGATCTCAATTTTGAGCCAACCTGGGTAACTTAGTGATTTAGCAAGACCCTGTCTCAAAATTTTAAAAAAAATTTTTAAGGGTATGAATATCGTTCAGTGTGAAGGCTGTGGGCTTAATCCCCAGTACTGAAAAAAAAAAAAAGAGAGAGAGAGAGAAATGGAAATAGAGATAGAAATATGTACTGAACATTTCTAATCTGAAAATCTGACATCCAAAATCCAGAACTTTTTAGGTGTTCATTATGATGCTACAGCATGAAACTTTGTTTCATGCAGAAAATTATCACAAATATTGTTTGAAATTACCTTTGCACTATGTGCATAAGGTATGTTTGAAATATAAATGAATGTTGTGTTTAGTCTTGGATGCCCCTCCCCCAAGACATCTCATTAGATATGCGTAAATATTCCACAGTCTGAAAAGTTCTGAAATTGATAACATCTCAGGTCCCAATCATCCTGGGCAAGGGATACTCAACTTTATATATACATAGGGATTCACCAAAGCACTAGCAACTCTGACTGGTACTGCTGTAGATGATAGGCTTGCTTTCTTCTTTCCTTTTCTTGCTGTATTTTGCCCTTTTCCTATAACAGTCAGTTGTTCTTGTAACAGAGAACTTCACATTTTAACACTCAAATTAGGGGTGGAAGCCCTTTCTCTTCTATGCATCTTCTTTTATAGCAAACTGATTAAATTCCAGCAAAAACAAAGCTTATGTTAAAGAAAGCTGTGTTAAAACAGCCTGTGAAAAGAAGGCTGCATCTAAATGTCGCTTCTAGACCTCAGTTTTCACTCCAGGGCTCTGCCGTGGACTTGGATTTCCTTGAGAGTCACTATATCAGCCCTGGGTCAGAAGGAAGCATTTTGTACAGGCAGGTTGTTGACAGCTAGGAATGGGGCAGAGTGGGGGTGGGAGGGTGGCTGTGTGTGGAAGGGACGGAGCGGCCCCTTTCATTGCTCTGCCTGCAGAATGCTCTCAGAACCTCCCACTCCCTCCAAGACTTCCCATGGGCAAGGGAAGGGGCCTGCAAGTGGAGGCCAAACCACCCTTCTTTTATTTATTTATTTGTTTGGGTTTTTTTGGTTTTTTGGTTTTTTTCCAGTACTGGGAATTGAACTCACGACCTTGCGCTTGCCAAGCAGGTGCTGTGCCGCTGAGCTAAATCCCCAGCCCCAAACCACCCTTCTCTGTGTCCATCGTCTTGGGGTTCATTCCCTACAGCCCCTGGACTCTTTTCTCATAATTACGATAGCTTAGTTTATAAATTCTAAGAAAGACTATTTTTAAAGAAGTGAACAAATCTGATCTCAGTCCTCAACATAGAGTTGACCAAAATGCATTGCAGCTCCCAGGTGTGGCTTGCAGCTCACCATGAGATGAGCACAGAGAACCTCCACACAAGGTGCGAGAGTAGCTCATTCGTACACTGACAGCTAGGCACTGTGGGAGCCTGGGGCTCAGTGGGGGAGCAACATCCTGTCCTTGGAGACTCATGGTTCAGTCATAGTCAAGCAGTCACACAAATAAATATTCTATGGTAATCGTGGTAAATTCTATAAAAAGCAAGAAGAGTGTGTACCAGGGTAGACTGACTGTGTTTAGAAAGTCAGGGAAGGGTTGGGAATTTAGCTCAGTGGCACAGTGCCTGCCTGGCAAGCACAAGGTCATGAGTTTGATTCCCGGTACTGGAAAAACAAAAACAAACAAAAAAAAAAGAAAGAAAAAGAAAGTCAGGGAAGGCCTCCCTGCACAGGTGACTGACACCTGATTCAAGATTTAAAGAAAGAGCAGGTATTCATTAGGTGAAGGACAAGGGAAAGAGCATTCCAGCCAGCAAGAACACACATGCAAAGGCCCTGTGGTACACAGAGCTACATAGAAGAGGGACGCATTGGACTGAAGTTGTAACACCTGTGTCCCAACATTATTCCGTCACCTACATAAGCCTTTTTTGCCTTTTCCAGGCTTCCTTGGTATTGTGTGTGTGAATGGTCTCCAAGGGCACTACAATTCTAATTGCTGTGACTCTGACTTGAGGCTTTTATATTCAGTCAGCAATAAAGAGAGGGTCTTAAAATGCTGATGGTCTTAAGTATTAGTGGCAGAAGGTATTTTGTATCATCAAGTGGGAATTCCTGATTAATACTGCTGCAGCAATACTTGTAGAATGATTCATACATACACAATTGTATCTTGATACTCAGTTGTTTTGAAACTCATCCAATCTGGCACATTTTGAGTGAAAATTGTATCTTGGAAAGCTAGAGCCTGTCAGTGTCAGTTGCTTTGTGACTCACTACTCTTTCCAGCCAAAACAGTTTGTTTAGTATTCATCATTTCCAGTACTCAGGGCACCTCCAAGAATTAATTAATGATGAGTACCAAGGTACCACTGTATTTGCTTGCGACCACCTTGTAGGTAGGGTCAACTATGTACAAAACCAAGAAAGCAATGGCCAGTGCTCCTTCTGGAGAGCTTAAACTCCCAGGAGGCTCCCAAAGTGTGCAGGTAAGTTACTCACAGAGGGATGAGGTACAGTAGCAAAGGGATGTGTCATTGCTCTTTGAGACTTTCAAGAGTTTTAGGAATGACACATAGAAACACTGTTAGTCCCAGCCCCTAAAAACTCATTATCTTTCTGTTACTGCTGCTGAAGTCTTGGACTTGGCTCCTTCCTTTCTTGCTTCCTTCAGGAAGAATTTCAATTTTTTTAGAATATTATTATGAAAATATTTTCATGCTGCTTTTAAAATGCATTGAAGGAAATGTGCTAAAATGAGATTCCACCCACAATAGCATGAAAAGTACACTATTCCTAAGAATAAACCTAATAGATGTGCAAGAAGTTTTTGGAAAAAAATTATTAAAGCACTGTACTGACAGTGCTGAGAGGACTTGAATACATGGAGAGATATATACCATGTTCATGGATAGAAGGCTCAGTATTGTCAAGAGAGCACTTTCCTCCAGATGAACCACAAGTACACTGTAATTACCGACAAAATTGGTTCTGGGTTGTTAGTAAAACGTGGCAAGCTGATTTTGGGATTCATCTGGAACACTAAGTATGCACACAATTCCAGATGGAGGAGACTGGTTTGTTCCTTTTAAAACATAAAATCATGTTTTGCATTGGTGTAAACAGAGAGAACTCAGTCCATGGACAGGGTGTCCAGTAATAGGTAAGAGTTGAATGTAGGTTGAAGATTGAATTTCAGATCTGGAGAAAGAAAGGGATGTTAAAAAAAAAAAAAACCAGAGAGCCTGTTCTAGGCACTGGAGAGAGAGGAATGAGCAAGTCAGACTTGGGGCTGCCCACATGTAGCTTATTGTAGTCTTGCAATTGAGAAATACAGAAGAAACTGCTTCATTTGAAAATATTTCTATTAGCTATGAGTCCATGGACTCATTAATTTAATACCAAATTAGGCCTTAGATATTAGCTGATTGGACCTCAGTTGCAATATTCTGGAAAAGGTTAGAACTGAAAATTATAGGATTTAAGTGTGCTGATAACTCTGATGTGTACCTTGTTACTGTCATAGTACATAGCTTTGGAGTCTGTGAGGAATTGCAAAATAATCTGGAGGATATTGTGGTTGATGGGAGTCTTCTAATTCTTGGAAGAATTCTGGGGGAAGGTAAGCAGCCTGTGTAGCCCTATTTTTATAGTGAAATGTCTTTTTGTTCATCCACCCAGGACTGCATTCACAGAGGAGGATTCTGAATTAGTTGTAAATTATATAGCAAAGAAGTCCTACTGTCGGCGAGCCATTGAACTTACCTGTAAGTAGACTTTCATTTTCCTTTTTGGCCAAAGTTAAAATAGCGGAGAGCCAACAAAGAATGAACAACCGACAGGTTTCTTTTCTTGTTTTGCTTTTTCTTTCTTGAGACAGGGCCTGATTATCAATTTAGGCTGGCCTTGAACTCACTATGGAGTCCAGGCTGGCACTAAAACTCGAGGCGATCCTCCTGCCTCACCCTCCCAAGTGCTTCAGAGTGCTCTCAGAGTGCTGGGGTTACATGTGTGCACCACCATGCTCGGCTCAACAGACAGGTTTCTAACAAAAGGCGAAGGAGTCTGAGTGGATGCTTTCATCTGCGTGTGGTGGTGCACACCTGTAATCCCAGCACTCTGAGAGATTGAGACAGGAGGATCACAGGTTTGAGCCCAGCCTGGGCACTTTAGGAACTTAGTGAGATCCTCTCTCAAAATAAAATAAAAAGGCTGGAGTGTAGCTCAGTGCAAAGGCCCTGGTGTCAATCCCCATTACCACCACAGTGAATGAATGCATGAATCCTTTTAACGTCCAAAATGTCAGAAACTAGCAAGGAGGGAGACACTGTCACATGCACCTCTGCTGGCTGGGTTAATTACTGGAAGTCTGGAGTTAGGAAGCCACGTTTCAGGATTCATAGTTCCATGAAATTCAGAGGTAAAAAGGAAACTTCGAGGCAATAGGAGATGGGGTAAAGATTGGAGATTTAAAGGAAATAGTAAAGCAATAGACATAATCTCAACCCTTATTTCCTGTTTTCCTGGCATCCAACTCAGCGGACAATTTGCCAGCATGCTTTGTAGCAATTATGGTTTGAACTTTGCTGAATCAGGGAATGGGGGCTTCTGCGCAGAGGAGGATAAACAGATAAGAGTGTTCTTGAGTAACTTCAGAAACAGTGTAGAAAGTACATACACATGCTGTGAAATCTGTGCTTCTGGATGTTTGCCAAAACTAAACAAAAAGGACTTAAGAATGACGGAATACAGGCTGCAATGAAATCAAAACTTGCTGGATACAGAGTGTTTATTTCTTTACTTTTCTAATCTGTGTATTTTGATGTTTAGATGTCTCTATTCTTGCATTTTTAAATGTTCTTTATTTAGATCATTTCTTCCTTTATCAAAGGACCATTTGGGTATTTTTTTTTTCTAAGAGCTAATATGTCATTTGTAATTACTCCTATATTTTTTCTTTCAAAGACCTGAAGTCATGCGTTAACTGTGGCTCAGATTTAATCATTCGCCAAATGACTGCAGAATCATTCTCCCCTGTCCTAGTTAATTCTTCTTGTTGACAACAATTGCTGTCATTGCTGCATGTCTGCTGTGTACTTTATTATGTCACATTCCTTATTGTAGACAACCTTATACTCCATTTAGCACTTCTTGTGTCCTTAGCGGGAGGTGCCCTATACCATACCTAGGGCAACAGCTTGTTCTCTGGATGTTTCCTGTAGGTCATGTGCCTCCTTTGGGCAGGGGAGGTGTCCTGATGGCTCTTTTATATACCGTAGTTCTGGGTATAAATGGTAAATAATCCACTAGCTACTGCCTATTGATTTGTTTTCCCTACTCCTTTAAGTCAGGGGCAAAACCCTTCTGCATGCGTCTGATGGCTGCTACTGCTGCACAATGGGAAGAGAAATAGGGTGCTGATGTTTTTATAGTGGTTCAAAATTAATCTTGCCCCAAAGGACTCATTTTACTTACTTTAACCACAGTAGAATGAAGTGTGATGTTTTAATACTGGCATTTAAAAAAAAAAGAGTGGATATAAAATTTTTTAAATGTGTAATTATTATACAGAACTTTAAATACAATTCTAGTTACATTTAAATGAAAGAAAGCACAGTGACAATTCTGATATGGATCTTGTTACTTTTATAGTACAGAGCCTGGGAGTCAGTGAGGAACTGCAGAATAAACTAGAAGATGTTGTGATTGACAGGAATCTTCTAATTCTTGGAAAAATTCTGGGGGAAGGTAAGCAGTTTCCAGCAATTCTCTTAAAATGTGGTGTAAGAAGGAGCAATTAAGAGGAATGTTTGAATGTATAGTGATTAAATAAAATACCATTTTGATGATTTTTGGGTTATAATACAAATAGTTCTACCTCATAATTTACAGTAGAGTAGTGATTTATGAAACTCAGATTTGGTGGTTGAAAACAGCCTCCGTGGTTCTCCGCAGACTGGAAAAATATTAATTACTTCCCTTCGTACAATTTATTGATCGGTGTCCTATGCCCTTTAAATTTATTCCTGTGGTTCTTAAGTGGATTATCCTGGGCACCTTCTTAATTAAATATGAGGTGCGATCGTAGCATATGGTGAATGATTAAAATTTTAAACATTTGTTACAGTAAAAGATACATTGCCTTAATCCTCTTCCTTAGAACACTCTTGTTCCTTCATTTTTGCCATTTTCTGAAGCAGTTTTAGAAGTCCTTTTTTGTACGTGTGGTTAGTTGTGCTGTGGAGGCTGCCTTGAGGTCCTGAGTCGATTCAAAACATGTACATGTCACAATCATTTTGACTTTGAGGAAGAGCCAGAAGTCGCCTGGTGCCAGATCCAGAGAATTAGGTGGGTGAGGAGAAAACACAATGTTTCAATTTGGCGGAAAGTGCTGTAAACACTCTCAAATCAGGACATCAAGGGAGCCATGAAAAGACCCTCACAAAAGAGGATTTCTAGAACTGCTTCAGAAAGTGGCAGAAATGATGGGATAAATGTGTTCAGCGGAAGGGGGAGGTTTTGAGGGCAATTCATGGCAGTGTGTCTTTCACTGTAATAAAATGTTTAAAATTTGTGTTGAAACGTTCTCCATTTTTTGATCACATGTTGTAGGTACAAAGATGAAATATATATTTCATTTGTTAAGTTGTTCTTAGGGCCAGGGGTATAGCTCAGTGGCACAGGTGCCTGCTGGCAAGCACAAGGTCCTGAGTTCGATTCCCAGTACCAAAAAAAAAAGTTATTCTTAGGGTGAATGACAATGTTGTTAAGAGTTTGTGCTTTATGAACCTCGATAACATTCCCCATGTTCTCCTGTAAGACTCTTGGGTCAGTTAAATGCTGCAATAAATAAAGCGACAACAAGGCTGAGCCCCGCAAGCCCAGGACAGACAGGAGACAGCACACAGCATATGCCTGGGTTTGTGAGTGTGGGAGGCCTGGGCGGGCCCTGTCCGGCTGACGAGTTGCTCCAGGGCCGCATGAAAACAGCTCCAGTGCTGTGACATTCCTGCCGTAGGGAAGATTTGGTGTGGTAGCCACATGGGTATTGCTTCACTTCGCAGGAGAGTTCGGGTCTGTGATGGAAGGAAATCTGAAGCAGCAAGACGGGACCTCTCAGAAGGTGGCAGTGAAGACCATGAAGTGTGAGTGGTCCGTGGGGAAGCCCGGGCTTCTGGGGTGGGCAGGTGCTTCAGCACTGGGGGCTCTGTGAGGCCAGGACGGCGTGCGGGTCTCGGCTGCTGCTGTTCACACACGCCCTGCGTGTTCTTTACACACAGAGCGCTAACCTGTTCCTCTCAGCAGCTCTAGCACTCTCCCTGTCTGCCTCTGTCACCGCCACCATCGTCGTCATCACTGGTCGTCATGGGCATCATCTCAGTCGAGCTGATGACTCCAAAGTAAGGCGTGAGCTTCTGAGGCAGGGATGTGCAATGCCAGCATCTGGCCCCAGGAGTTGGGCTGGCTGATCTCTCCAGTGTGACCAGGCCACTTCCTCATCTGAAGGTTTTTTGTCCTAAATTCTCTTTAATAGGAAAAGGATTCACATTTTTGAAGCCCATAGAATGGCACGGACACTGCACTAGCTACCCTGGTGTGTGATTTTAGTCACCCATTTTACCCTGTTAACTTCCCTCCCACAGCCTGGCTTTATGACTTGCCTGCTTGCTTCTTAGTGTGGTAAAATGCACAGTGGTAAAAGGTTAAGCCACTGTTAAGCGTGCAGGTCCGTGGCATGAAGTACCTTCACGCTGTGGTGTCACCGTCACCGTCAGCTGTCTCCAGAACGTCTCATCCTGTGACCCTAAAACTGTGCCCAGTAGACACTAACTCCCCTCCCCCTCCCCCAGCTCCTAGCCACCTGCACTCTACTTCCTGTCTGATTTGATTACTCTAAGTACCTACTATGAACGTAATCATTTATCCCCTTGTGATTGATTTCATTTCATAATGAGCATAATATTGACTTTTAGACAGCGTTCCTGAGTTATTTTCATTCCAAAAACTTAGTATCAAAGTACACCCAACTCAGAAGGCGTGACGAGGGCTGGGGATATAGCTCTGCAGCGCAGCACCTGCCTGGCAAGCATGAGGTCCTGAGTTCGATTCCTGGTTTACACACACACACACACACACACACACACCCGCCGCCCGCCACAAAAAAGCATGACTAAGCAGCCTGCCTTGCAGGAGATAGGGAGAGGTGTGACTTTTTTTTTTAGGTAAAATAAGTGCAACAGATCAGTTGGGACTGACTAGTTTGGGGTTTTTTTTTCTGTACAGATTTTAATTTTTCAAGCATCTTTAGGTTTACAGAAAAATTGGGCAGAAACTAGAGTTTCCATATATTGCCCTTCTCCCATACCCCATTTCTCCTTTCGTTAATATTTTTCAGTAGTGTTATATATGTTTTACAATTGATGAAAACATCTCGACACATTATTAACCAAAATCCTTCATTTACACTTGAGTTCACCCTTGGTCTGGGTTACGTATTTTAACAAATGTATAAAAGACCTGTGTCCGAGACTGTAGTAGCGTAGAGAAAGCTTCAAGGCCCGAAGGTCCCCTGTGCCTTGCCTATTGGTTCCTCTCCCCACAACCCCAGGGACCCCGGACAACACTCACTCGTTTCCTGTCTGTGTAGTTGTGCCTGTTCCTGGTTTGGGTTTTAGAGAACAAAATTGCTCCTGCCCCGCCCCCACCCCTAAAATGAGTACGTGAACTGTACCTAACGTTTTCCATCTGCTCCTTTAGTGGACAACTTCTCACAGCGGGAGATCGAGGAGTTTCTCAGTGAGGCAGCGTGCATGAAGGACTTCAGCCACCCTAACGTCATCCGACTCCTAGGTATCTTGGGGAAACGCAGGATTGGGGGGTCAGGGGGGCTTGGCTAATTGTACTGTGTGCAAAGGGGAAAGACTTGGTGCATGTAAGTTTACACATTGCACAATCCCCCAAAAGCATAGATTTCTTACTCGGAACACTTCTCCTTATGCTTCTGTTTGCTGAGGCTGGTATGGGTTAGCATTCTGGGCTCGGGGGTGGGTAGAGTATCCACAGAGTTTAACGAGACTATAGGTGAAAGAGCTCTACAAAGGCATACAAGCTGGTCGTGTGACACTCTTTGTTGATTTAGGATTATTCAAAAATTAGAAAGCATCTGGGCGTGGTGGCGCACGCCTGTAATCCCAGCACTCGGGAGGCTGAGGCAGGAGGATCATTGGAAGTTTGAGACCAGCCTGGGCTACAAAGTGAGCTCAAGGACAGCCTGAACTGCATAGCGTGACCCTGTCTCAAAAAGACAAAAAAAAATATTAGAAAGCAGTGAGGTAAAGCTATAAAAGTTAACAAATTCTGTAAATCATCTTTGAGAAATAATTTATGAATATATTTCAAAGTACTGATTTATGATCGTGGTACCTTGACCATTCAGTATTTCATGAGTGTAGCTTAAAGTATTTTGGCTTTGCAACTCTGTTAGAGGAGAGGAGGAGAGGAGGTATCAGTGGGTGCTGTGTAAGTATACTTTTTTTTAATTTGGCAGTGCTGAGGATTGAACCCAGAGCTGCGTATATGCTGGGCAAATACTGTACCACCGAGCCACATACCAGCCAAGTAGCAGTATTCTAAGAGAAGGGAACAACCTGGCAAGAATGAAAACTTTCTGCTGACTTTTTGCTTCTGTCCTGTGGCTTGATGCATGATAAATTCTTCAGGGGAATTTTTCAAATTCCATTGAGATTGACACTGTAGGACGATGTGAAAGCAAATGTTTAGATATTATGTCAAAGACATAGCTACCCTTTACTTGCAGCTATTGGTTTTAGCAGGCCAAGAACAATTGTACTTTGTCGTTGCCTGACAAAGTGCAAGCGCTTTGCAAGCCTAGGATCAGGTGACGGGCTCGACTAGTTCCAGAACTGCATGATAAATGGTACTGCAGCTTTTTGTTGTATAACAGCTAAAATTTAGGGAAGTGAATTTTACCTAAAGACTCTCAAAATAGGGGGAGAGGGCGGGGGGTGCTGGGGATTGAAGCCAAGCCATAAGCACATGCTCTGCCACTGAGCTACACCCTAGTCCCCCAAATTCTTATAATAGTTTTAAGCATGTGGGTGCAGTGGACTTCTTCATATGATTCAGTATTGAACTGCTACATGCAGCTAGTTTGCTCTCGTATTTTAATATGGTCACTACCCTCAGCTGGATTCAGTCCAACAAAAACTCCTAGGTATCAATGTGGCTCTGTTTACAACGGGTTGATTTTTGGGGAGCTCACATGCAAAGACAGCCCCCAATCTGAAAGAAGAAAAATGCAAACGTGTAGTAAGTACAGCCTGTGTATGTCTAATCTTCAAGAGCTCCGTGGGGCTGTTAACTTGGCAGCACCTGGTTTTAATTTGCCCACTGGTCCTCCAGGGCTTTTTTGGTCCCACATAACAAGGGCTCTTTGTGACTGGTTCTGTTTTTAATTCCAGGCGTGTGTATAGAAATGAGCACTCAAGGGATCCCAAAGCCCATGGTGATCTTACCCTTCATGAAGTACGGGGACCTGCACACGTACTTACTGTACTCCCGCCTGGAGACTGGACCAAAGGTATCACACCGCCTCCACATGGTTCTCAGGGCTTCCTTCTGTGGGGCAGCCCCGGGTCCAACTTTGAAGATGCAAAGAAAAATAAAGGACTTTGTTCAGCACCCCCGGTGTACTTGGGGGTTGAACTGTGCTGTCTGTCCTCACTGCAAGACTGCTCAGGGGTATTATTGTCTCTGCCCAGAGCTTGCTGATGTTAAAAAGGCCTTGAGAGACAGCTGTCCTAACCCAATGTGGTGCCACATTCCTTAGGCCCACCACGTGGGAGACTGAGGCAGGATTATCATGAGTTCAAGGCCAGATGACTGCCCCCAAAGAAATTTTATAGAGTTCTCCTCCATGTAGTGGGTTTCATCCTTTGAAATGTGCCTGAAATTTTTGGTGAATAGATACTTTCCTGATAGGTTTTTGTTTTCGTTTTGTGATGCTGGGAATTGAACCCAGGGCCTTTGCACTGAGCTATATCCCCAGGCCTTTGTTTTGAGTGACTAACTGCCCAAGTTCTGTTTGAACTTGTGATCCTCCTGCCTCAGCCTCTCAGAATGCTGGGCTAACAGCTGGCTCCTGATAGTCTTACTCTAGTAAAATCAGTTGTAGTCAAATATGGTGAGTCAAGAGGACTGCATGCCTGACATTCTTACAGTGTCCGAACATTCATTATACTCCACGTTTAGGCTTTCCAGCCCTGAGGACTGTGCAGCCTAGCAATTTGGGATGTCACTATAGAGGCACTGACAGGTTGCCTAGGAAGTTTAAGAGTGCAGACTTACAGCCTTGCCTCTTTAGGCCAGTGTTTAGTTTTGACCTCAAGAACTGGGCCTCATGGTTGATGGAGACATTGCACTAGGGCCTCCCGGTCTGGAATGAAAGCCATGTCCTCCTGTCCTGTTTCCCATGGACTGAGCAGGAGGTGTGGTTGTGGCCAGTCTGCATGCCTGCCTGAGCCATCTGTCCCCTTTCTTTCCTTTGCTTGCCTTCTGTGTGTGAGAGGAGGTGGTGGCACCTGGGGGCAGGGAGGCTGTGGCCGGGACACATTTGAGAACACCGGTGTGGGGGGGGGGGTGGCCTGCGGCACTGGTCACCCTGACGAGGACAGAAGTCGCTCCTGTATCACTGGGGTAACAGAGCACAGGCCTGGGAAGTAACTGGCCCTTCAGTCTACACCTGGGCGTTCTCTAACACGATCCCCTTTTGTCCCCTCAGCTGCCAACACTAGCAGGACTCCGGTGAGTGCAATTAGAAACACCTGCTTCCGTTTTTCCTTTCACAGGTCATGCTCTGCACCGTCATGTCTGAGAACTCTTTGTCTAAGCTTAGTTTTTAATTTTTTTAAAAAAAGTTTTCCTCCTGTCTTCTTCTAAAAAGTGTGGGGTTTTTTCCACGGTACGTTTGCCTATAGGCCCCGTTTTGTGTTGAATTTTGTAGAAGCTGTGAGATTTAGTTCAGGGTTCTGGGTGAGATTTTTTGTTTGGGATTGGACTTTGGCATATAGATAATCGGCATTTGTGAAAAGACTGCATCGCCTTACTCCGCTGAATTGCTTTCATGCCTTTGTCTGGATCCAGTCGGCTGTAAACACGTGGGTCTATTTCTGAGTTCTCCTTTCTGTTCATTAAACCCTCGGCCCATCCTTTGCCCCCAAAGCTTTGCTGCTTTGTTAAGTCTTAAAACTGCAGCGTGTACTTCCTCCCACTTTATTGTTCTTTTGCAGAATTGTTTCAGCTGTCCTACTTTCAGTGCCCTCCCGGATAAATTTTAGAATCAGCTTGTCTGCGGCAGCCAAAAGTTCTGCTGTGATCTTATATTCTTTTGAACAAAATAACAAGTGAGGAAAGCCAACTACACAGCCTTTTACTGGTGAATGAATAGTTTCCATTTGCAAAACTACAAAGCTGTCTCAGTTATAAATATGAAAAAGGACGTATTTGTGTATTTTGATTCTTCGTAGCTGTAGATAAAGAAGGAGGACACAGAGTACATAGATGAGCTGGAAAACCATGTTTTTATTCAGACCTTTGCTATCCATTTGGTCAATTTCCTGGGAATAAGGGCCTTTTGTTCCTTCGAGAGTATCCCTAGCCTAGGTCTCAGGGCATGTAAGCATGCCACTCCAGCAGGGCCTGGGTGCTGGCCCCAAGTGCCACTCTACCCTCTGGGTGAACAGCACCCTTGGAGGTGTGCAGAGAAAACAGGCACACGATAAGGTGACCCGGTTGTCACAGAAGTTGGCAATACACGGGTGGCAGCTGCAGTGACCTAGGCACCAAGCAACCTGCTTGAAGCTTCAGGGAGGAGATGAATTCAGACTGGGGATATTCTTTTACTGTTCCACACTGCTGTCATGTTTGTCCTCAAACAAGTGGTGGGAACAAAATAGAAAATTATGAGAAATACATAGCCAAGGACAGAATGAGCGATCTGAGCATGCTGAGTGATTTGGGAAAATAGGGCATCTTGTGTGACGAAAGCAAAGAGGTGGAAGGGCGGAAGGTGGGTGATAAACAGGGGAAGATGTGCTGAAGTTGACCTTTGAGGTCTGTAGCAGGAAGGATGGCTTCCCCAGCATGAAAAACCAAAGCCAGTTCAGAACGGCCTTCACGAAGGAGATAGAGGATCCCACGGACAAAGCCCAGAGGTAGCACTGCCCAGAGTTGCCTTCCACAACAGTTCTGCCCTCAGCAACATCAGGTATCCAGAATGTTGCTTTTCATTTGTGACCAGCTATCAGCATGGTTACAAATGGCAGCCACGTCTCCAGCCATCGCAGCCTCACACACAGCTTCCAGAGACAAAGGGAAGCTTTTCCACTCTGCCTACATCTTTCTCCATTTTCCTCACCTCTTCCTGGAGAGGAACAGCCTTTTTCCTGGGACAGCATGTTAAAAAAAAAAAAAAAAAAAAAGATTTATTGTAATATAATTCAAGCACTATACAATTCTTCCACTTAAAATGCGCAAGTCAGTGGATTTTAGTATATTCATAGAACTGTGTAACCATCACCACAAGCAATTTTGGGACAATTTTATCATCTTAACAAAAAAAAAAAAAAAAAGGAAAGAAAGAAAGATCCAAACCCACATTCTTTAGTCATCATCTCCCAATCTCTGTCTCCCCCAAAGACCCAAGCAACCACTGACCTACTTTTTTTTGTTTGTTTGTTTGTTTTTCTGGTACCGGGGATTGAACTCATGACCTTGCGCTTGCCAGGCAGGCACTGTGGCACTGAGCTAAATCGCCAGCCCCCCATTGACCTACTTTATGTCTCTCCATTTGTCTGTTTTGGACATTTACTGTAAGTAGAATCGTATACATTCATTCTCTTTTATGAGTGGCTTCTTTCTCTGAGCATAATGTTCTCAAAGGTCACTGATGTAGCATGAATCTGTGGTTCAGGAATATTCCGTGTGCAGATATACTACCTTTTATCCATTCATCTGTTGATGCACATTGGGGTTGTTCACTTTTACAGCTTGAATGAATATTCTATGAATATTTTTGTAAAAGTGTTTACATTGACATATGCTTTAAGTTCTCTTAGGTGCAGCTCTACCTGTAGAATTACTGGACCAGATGGTAATAACGGAATGTTTAACTTGTTGAAAAAAACTTCCAGATTTGCTTTCTAAAGGAGCTACATTATTTTACGTTCTCATCAGCAGTGTAGGAGGGTTCCAGTTTCTCCACATCCTCAATCAACACTTCATTATCTGACTTTTTTCTTCTACCCATTCTAGTGAGTGTGAATCGCTTTTTCAGTGTGATTTTGACTTCATTGCCCTCATGACTGATCATATTAAGTGTCTTTTCACAGACTTCTTGGCCACTTGTACTTCTTCTCCAGAAGAGTGTTTATTCTGATTTGTTGCCTTTTTTTAGTGAGAGTAGTTGTGTTTTTATTATTGAGTTTAAAAGTTTTGTGTATGGCCTAGGTACAGACTCCTAATTGATACAGGCTTTGCAAATACTTTCTCCCATTGTGTGGGTTATCTTTTCACTCTTTTAATGGTGTCCCTTGAAGTGCAAATGCTTTTAATTTTGATGAAATCCATTTTATCTTTTTTTGGTGGGGGATGCTTATGCTTTTGGTATTACATCTAAGAAATCATTGCTTAATCCAAAATTGCAAGAGATTCACCCTTCTGTTTGCTTCTAGGAACTTTTAAATCTAGGCCTTCATTTTTAAGACTTTGATGCATCTGTCAGTCATTTCAGTTGATTTTGTGTGTGGTGTGAGGCAGAGATCGAGTTTTATCCTTTGCATGTGAGTCTTCCCTTGTCCCAGAACCATTTCTTAAAAAGAACGTTCTTTCTCTGTTGTCAGTAGCCTTGACACCCTGTTGAAAGCTAATTGACTGTATGTGGGTTTTTTCCTGGACCAACAGTTCACTTCCATTAATCTGTATGTCTATCCTTATCCCCCTACTATATTGTCTTAATTACATTTTCTTTGTAGCAAATTTGAAATCAGTGTGAGTCCAGCAGCTTGCTCCTATTCAGGCTTATTTTGGGCATTCTGGCTTCCTTGAGTTTCTGCATGTGTTTCAGAATCAGCTTGTTAATTTCTGCAGAGAAGCAGCTGATATTCTGATGGGACTTACATTGGTTGTACAGCTCAATTTGGGGCATATCATCATCACGATAATATTAAGTCTTCCAATCCACAAAGACACAGGATATCTTTCCATTTAGGTAGATCTTTAATTTCTTTCAACATTTTATAATTTTCAGAATGTGTTTTACTCGTCTCTCCTAAATTTATTTCTAAGTACTTTATTTGGATTCTGCTGTGAATGAAATTGCTTTCTTAATTTCACTTTCAGGTTGTTCAATGCTAGTGGTATAAAAACACAATTGATTTTTGTTTATCTGTCTTGTGTCCGGCAATCACACTGAAATCATTCATTATACCACACAATTATTCTTAAAATGACTTTTAGTCACACTCTCTAAGAATAACAGAAGTATAATAAGAAATTATAGCACAAATTTATAACACCTGATACTCATAACACTTTCAGTAATGATACTAGGATTTGATATTTTTTAGGACCCAAATCCTTTCCTGGAAATTAGCATCCAGAAAAACAAATGCCCCAAATAAGCAGAACAGAGCCAGAAAGCTTCCATGCCAATTTGTTTCCATTTTTAAAAACTCCATTACTTAAGGGTAAAGATAATTAAGACATTTTGTTTTTAAGCAGTGTATAATTGACAAGGGTCTTGGTTGGGTAATCTAAGTTATTAATCAATGTCTAAGTTATTATGCAATGTCTTTGTGAGTGCATTTTGAAAAACTCATGTTCCAGAGTGAATAAGCAACGGCAAATTCAGTGCCTTAGGGCGACTCTCTACTGGATGGATCCACTCATGATAGCCGGAAACTTGCAGTAAGCCATCACTGCATTAAAACATTTCATTATTACATGGGAGTCTTCATTCGTCGTCCTCATAATGATAGCAGCGGCAGATTTTCTAACACAGCAATCTAGTTTGATTTTTACAACATAGGGAAAATGCTAGACTGTTGAAACTTATAGGATGTCCCTAGTGAAACAAAATGAATACTCAAGAGATACTTGCCCTTTGGTCCCATGATAAAGAGTGAAGGACTGCTGTCTGGAAGAAGAAAAGCATCTTTCAAACCATTTCAAATAAAGTGATAAGCAGAAAGGCTAGGCTATAGCTCAGAGGTAGAACACTTGCCTAGAATGTGTGATGCTCTGGGTTTGATGCCTCGCACCAGGGGGGAAAAGGATTTGGAAAAAATGATAGTAGATATGGTACATAATTGAAATTGCTTTGTGCCTCCCAAACAGTGTATCCTTCCAGCAGACACAGCCTACCCCTACTGAGCCCAGACCCCTCATCTTCCCATCTGCCTGGCATGGCGTCGTATTCCAGTGTCTCACAAGGCTATAGCAGGTCATCTTTGGCCTCATAATTTATGAAAAGAAACAAAATGTTAATCACTGTAAATACTTATGTGGGGAGAAGAGAGCGTGGTATTTTCTATTGAAAGTTTTAAGAGTTTTTAGTGATAGTACCTAGGTTTGTTTCCTTCTTCCATTCCCACATCTTAAAGAATAAGAACACCGTCTCTCCCCTTGGGCGGAAGCGACTTGACAAGCTTTCCCTCCAACAACAGCCTTTTTTCTTGTTTTCTCCACCCCCTAGCATATTCCTCTGCAGACACTGTTGAAGTTCATGGTGGACATTGCCCTGGGAATGGAGTATCTGAGCAACAGGAATTTTCTCCATCGGGATTTAGCTGCTCGAAATTGCATGTAAGATCTGCGATCATGGAGGGTGTTGGGACTTTATGGTGTGTGATCTTTGTGAGATTAGGGGGAACAGCCCACTGCTTTTAAAATAGGGAGGGAGATCTGGAGGTGTAGCTCAGTGGTGGAACACTTGCCTAGAATGCTTGTGAAGTTCTCGGTTCAATCTCTAGTAAAAAAATTTTTAAGAATAAAAATGGAGAGAAGCTAGTAGGAGGGGACAGTATGCCTTGCTTGGAATGAGATTTCTGTGACCCTGACCCTGGTTAGGGTTTTGTATGGAGGTCTTTATTGTCTCGACCGCCAAAAGTCTGCCTCTAAAGCTCTATCCTGTGATGACTTTTTTATTTCCACCCTCTCACTCAGCAACATGTACTAGATGTGGTCTTTGTGACCGTCAGCTAGCTTTGCATCCAGAGTTACGTTAAGTGATATCATGGCAATAATACACAATGACCTACTAACTTTGAGACACTGGTAAAAGTTGTAAAGGTTTTGGTCCTCCTTCTTCCTTATACTTCCATGTAAAGAACTTCCATACCATGAGTACACATAAGGAAAGCTTTATGTACATGCCAGGGGAGGGGTCATTATATGAGAACAGGGGCTTTAAATCTCCCCATTTTTTTCCCTGCTCCAACAGAGCCTTTATCTCTGTCAGCCTTCAAAGGCAGTGACTACTTCTCCCTTTCAAGCTTGACTGTTAGGGGCTGGGGATTTAGCTCAGCGGCAAAGTGCCTGCCTGGCAAGTGCAAGGTCATGAGTTCGGTTCCTGGTACCGGAGAAAAACCAAAAAAAAAAAAAAACAAGCTTGACTGTTGCAAGAGGAGGGAGTGGTCTTGAGTGTATTTTTGTCATATTTTAAAGTAGCACTAAACTTTCTTTTCAATGAATTAAGAAAAACTAGTAGTATAGGTGAAACAAATTAGTATATGCACTGAAATATTGTTGAAGCAACAGAACAGAGAACTTGGGAAATTATTTGAACTTTTTCCTACTTCCTAGTTCTCCGTCTTCTATTTTGCTTTTTATTTATATGTTTATATATTTTGAGTTTCTCATCTAGGAGAAAGCATGTGCTATTTAGGCTTGTGTGTCTGCCTTATTTCCCTGAACATTACGTTCTCATTGCTTTTTCTTGGTCAGAGGCATGGCGCTGGAGCCCACCACTTCTGTTGATCTGCCTGTATGTCCCTTCCCTTTTACCTCGTATTTTAAAATCCCAAAGGGATTGTTATTGTATTTAAACATTTTTCTGGTATGGAGGGAAAGTCATGAAAACATTTTTTTCTTTTAGCATTTCCTTCATATTTTTCCTAACCAGGTAGGGTAACCAGCTCTCCAGTTTGCCCTAGATGGAGAGATTTCCCAGGATGTGGGACTTTTCATTTTAAAAATCATTATCAGGCAGAAGCTGGATGTGGTGACACGCCTGTAATCTCAGCATTTGGGAGGCAAAAAGGCAGGAGGCTCATGACTTGAAAGCAGTCTCAGAGAAACAAAAAGAGTTAATGTCAAGCAAATAGGGACAAACTAGTCACCTAGTGCCTTCTCTTTGTATCCTTCTCCTCCTCATCTTCTTCCTTTTCCTCCTTCTCTTTGTGTTTTTCCTCCTATCCCTCTTTTCCCTCTCCCCTCTTGTTTTCCTCCTTCTTGTCTAGAATCTGTTTTAATAGCTTGGACTATAAATGCAATTATGTTGTTTTAATTTTCAAATGAATCCCTCAAGCCCCTACCTGACCCCCTTACCAAGCAGCCCCACATGTCCTTCTTTAGCTTGTATTTCCCTCTTCCCTCAGCCTGCCCGGGGGCTCTGTTAGTCCACAGGGCAACTGTGTGACTTTAGGACAACAGCCAGAAGAGCTGCTGGGGCACTAGACCAGTCCACCATGGAGGACTCAGATATGCAGCTGCTGCTCCTTCTGCTTCTGCCACACTGTCACACCTCTCCCCCTGGTGTTCCCAGCTGCTATGCACAGTCGCCCCTGCTGGCCCAGTCCCCACACAGACCAGAGTGATGGGAGATAGTAACTGTCCCGAGCCGTCACTTATCATAAAGGTGTCGGGCTGCGTCTGCTACAGACCTGTGACTGCAGGCTTTGCCTCCACGGCTGCTGAGGACATGAACTTGTTCTTTGTAGGTTGCGAGATGACATGACTGTCTGTGTGGCCGACTTTGGCCTCTCTAAGAAGATTTACAGCGGCGATTACTACCGCCAAGGCCGCATCGCGAAGATGCCTGTGAAGTGGATTGCCATAGAGAGCCTCGCAGACCGAGTCTACACAAGTAAAAGTGACGTGGTGTGTGTATGGCTTTGATATACGGTCCCTCTATGCCAAGGTGGGGCACTCGGCTAGAAATCACGGAGGCTGGTATTGCAAGACATTTTTACCCTTTCATAAAATGAGACCAGGGAACTAGTGCAGAACTTTCTTTGGTTTCTTGCTAGTTACTTTAACTCAGACAGAACGAAATGTCCTGACATTCAGAAGAGCTGTGTTTTTTGTAGGACTTTCGTTAATTTCCTTTTTTTTTTTTTTTCCTATAAAAGGACTAACTTATTGCCTACTACTTAAAATATTCCCTATCCGCATAAATCGAGAGAGTTTATCGTCCAGTGGCTCTTTGAAACCATAGGCTGTATAAGAGGTGGTGTATAATCATACCCCTGGCCCAAGAAAACGCTGCAACACCAAAGCAGAGCATTAAGCAATGCTGGTGTGAGATGAGGTTATGCCTGCCTTTATCAAATTTCCCAGAACAGCTTTCATTAAAATGAGGAACTGTGACACTCCAGCCCCACGTCGCTGCTGTGTTGGGACAGCAGTGGGTCTCAGACATAATTGCCAGCTTTGTGCACGGTCATCAGGACATTAAGGAACTGACCTTTCCCGATGAAAAGGTCCATTCAGCCTTGGTGGAAAGACTTGCATCCTAACTTGTTGTTGTTGTTCTCAGTGGGCCTTTGGCGTGACCATGTGGGAAATAGCCACTCGGGGGATGACTCCCTATCCGGGAGTCCAGAACCATGAGATGTACGACTACCTTCTCCATGGCCACAGGCTGAAGCAGCCCGAGGACTGCCTGGATGAACTGTGAGTGAGAATCTCTGTGTCACTGAGTGTTCTGCACGGGCAGCCTCTGGACTCCGCAAAGCCCTGAGGAACACACTGCCACTGGGGCCCTGGGACTGTAAGCCAGGTGGGCGAGTGTAGAGGGTGGCGTCTGCAGACATCTGAGGTTCTTCTTAGGCATCCCAGGAAGTGTATCCTATTCGCAAATAGGTTTAGTTTCTAATGCATGAGGTACTGGACTGATCCCCAACATCCCTTGGGTAACCTTACCCTGCTCATTACGTATAGCATTTCAGACACACCAATCACGTTCATATCCTTCATCAGGAAACCTGGAAACAGGAGCCAGTGACTCTGAAATCAGGCTGGTCATCAGAATTGCTTGGGGCATATTCTAACAGTGTGGTTCCTCAGCCTGTGCCTGAAGATTGTGAAGCTGTTGCTACAAAATGGGCCTAGAAATAAGTGTTTTTCAGTGCTACCTGGAAGACGGTACTCAGCCAGGTGAAAGCCATGCCAGCTCGAACCACAGCGCACATCCTGTCCCGGCAGAGCCCTCTGTGTCCTCAAGGCTAGGCATGATGGAGAAGAGACCCACGCCCTAGGCTGGACAGGCCAGGTTCTGCCTCCTACTTAATCGTGTGTGTGGCCATGGCAGCTGACTTAACCTTCCTGTGCCTCATATTATCAGCCACAAAAGTAGTACAGCAATATTTTCTCCAGAGGGTTGTTGTAAAAAAGGCTAATGACAGAGTATATGGAATGTTCAGCCTGTAGGCAGCACACAAAGGAAGCACTCATGGAAGAATACCAGTTATTATTAGCGCCATTACAAATGGATCTCTCCCAAGCACCTTGTGGCCCTATTCATAATAATGTCATGGAAGATTGCCTGTGGCTTGGCGATGTGAATCTTCCTGACAGTGAGTCTCCACCCTGTGTAATAAGGGCCCCAGGTTTGCAGAGAGGCATTCTCACCGTGCTTGGTGTCACTGAAGAAATACAGTTCTTTTTCATTTAACATAGTGAAAGACACATCGTCCTCAATCCCTCTCAAAATATTCCTGCTCACTTTGAACACTCTGTCGTTCTTCCTACTTTCTGAAGCAGTTTCGGAAGTCCTCTTCCCTGAGTGTCCTTAATTTTGCTGTCAGGGCTCCTTCGAGGTCTTGAATCAATTCAAAATGTTTTCTTCTCACGCTCATTTTTACTTCGGGGAAGATTCAGAAGTTGACTTTGACTTTGGGGAAGATGCTGGGTTGGGTGAATAAGGCCGATAAGGACGTACCATCATGTTTCTATGCGTCGGCCTCCCCACTGGATGGCACTCAGCAGCATTTGCTGAATTGTTGATCACACTGCATAAACACTCCTGAAAAATGACTTCCAGAACTGCTTCAGAAAGTGGCAAAAATGACAGGGTAAGTGTGATCAGAATGGGGCAGGGCGGTATGCCGAGGGGTGCTCATGACAGTGCATCGTTCACTGTAATTGTTTAAAAATTTAAACAGTCTCAGTAGATGTCTTAACATTAAACAGAAACAAACACTGTAAACCCCTTAAGAACATCTTGAAGTGCTAATTAAATTAGTTCCAGGGTTTCATGGTAGTTTTTTAAAGGGCTGTGTTCACTTCTGAAAAGTAAGGAGACTTTCCCTCCAACAGTACTGACTGAGAGGGGTTCTTTTGCAGTCCTTTCTTCACTTTCCCAGTCTGATAAAAGAAGTTCACATTTGCAGCGATGAACTTGGGTTCTAGCGAGGTCTGAGCTGTATCACATTGTGGTTTTCAGATGTTTCACACAGACCCAAACAAGGGAATGCTGAGTCCGTGTTCTCTGAGAGGGTTAGAGTGGCTGAGTCAGCGTCCGTGGGTGGCTGGGGAGCCAGGCGGATTGCAGACGGGCTAAGTTCCCCACACGCCTGTGGCCAGCACGCTGGTGAGCAGACCTTCCTCGTCTCAGCTCGCGTCTGGATCCTGGCAAGCAGCGTTGTCCCCAAAGAGGGTTCTGTGCTTCCATTCCTAGGGCATTTCCTTTTAATAAATGAAATGAATGCTCCGAGCCTCTCGGCCGGGATTGCTGTATAAACATGAGTGCTGAGATGCGCTCATTCCTGTGCTTTGTTGCCCTTTGGTTTTTCAGGTCAACTCTGGGAAACAAACAGTATCACCCACAGAGACCCTTTGCACCCTGCTGTCTGACCCCGCCTGGGGGGGGGGGCACCTTCTTGCAGTACCACCCCCACCTCCGAGTGACCAGACTGCTTCCCACTCCCCGAGATACCACTCTGCAACGCCTCTACCCACCTCCATTGGACATTCCCCTCTGAGCTCACCTTCCCTGCAGCCCTCAGGATCCTCCCCACCACCTTGCTTCCAGGGTTCCCAGCAATGGCTCTCATGCCCTGGTCTTTGGGAACGGCCTTGTTCTATTTTTTTGCTCCACTGGGTCCCATCAGCCAGCAGATAGCCTTCCGAGGCTCCACCTCTTCTGTTCCCATCGCTGATACTGTCAGACTGTAGAACCCTAGGCCTCCCACTCATCGCACTGGCATCTGGCATAGTGAATGAATGAGTGGAGTGTGGAGACCCTTGGTTCTCTCTTCTTCTCATCCCTAGGCTCCTCGTACGTTGTTTGAAGGGCAACTTCAGTGACCCCCTTACATTATAATCTGAGGCTTCAGTTAGCCCACTGGTAGACCCTGGGTTCCACCTCCGGCACCACAAACAAATACATACATACATACATACATAAAATTATAATATGGTCACGACATGCTTCTAGCCATAATCAACCTGTGGTTCCCTATTGTCTTTAGAATAAATCCAAAATTGTCAGTATCTGACCCGCGTTAGGCAGTGTGGCTAAGCGGATAAGAAGCTGGACTTCAGACCCATCTTCCTGTAGATTTGGGAGGCAGTTGTCGCCCGTTCTGGAGCACAGTATCACCCAGTTAGGTTCCTCATCCATAAAACAGAGATAAGATAATGTGGGATAGCTGGATGCATGATGGCTCACGGTTAATGATGAAGCAGGGCCCTGGTATTGGGTGGGCTGGCACTGCTCCCAGCTGGTGGTGGGTCTTTCCCACTACCACTTCCCCAGGGTCTTGCGTTTCTTTCCCAGTGGCACTGCTGTGAAGTGTAAATGCTTAAGGTGCAACAACCCACACAGCAGGACTCGCTGATAGTGTCCCATCTGTGTCACCCACCTAGGAGCTGGAGCTCAGAATCAGGGGCTCCTCCCCGGGGCTCCCTGACATCCCTCACAGCACTGCCCTTGTGCCCCATGAGTTCCCCATCTCCACCCTCCCACACACGTCCTGTGCCAATCTCAGCTTTCCTGCATCTGGGCATCCAGGGCCTGAAACCTGGTAGGCACTGGTCCAGCCCTGCCTCCAGCTGCTGCCTCTGTGCTCAGAAGGCCCCAGCTCACAACCTCCTGCTACGTACTGATCTGTCCACCCCTCTCCTTCCACCTGATGCAAACAAGGGCCAGAAAAGGAAAGGGGTGAGAGTCACAGTTGGCCAGGTAGTGGCTAGGATCAGACCCTGGTGTGACACACAGCTTGTATGAAGCAGGTGTCCTTTCTCAGAGCAGACTTGCAGCTGCGTGCTGCCCTCCTGTAATCTGATAGTATTCTTTCAAATTGAGGTAAGATGTACACAGCATACAATTTTATGATCTTAAGATCTTAATCTTGTGTGTATTTCAGTCCCGCCAAGTGCCCTCATGCTGTTGTGTAATGATCGCCACCGTCCATCTCCTGAACTCTGTACCTTGCACAACTCAAGCTGTCTACCCATTGAGTAACCCTCCCTTCCCCTCCCACAGCAGCCTGTATGATTACATCTTTTATAAAATCTCAGCAGAAAAGCAGAACTGACCATTTACAATGGCAATTACCAAACATTTTTTTTTCCATCCATAAAATTTAAATCACCAAATATCCCAGCCCTCCTATTACCTACCAGGTGCAGGACCTCCTATTAATCACCCTGGGTCACCACCATGAAATCGCCCTTTTGTGAGTAGGTTAAACAGTACACATGCTCACTGTGTCTTTGTGTTTATATTTTATACAGTATTGAACATAAAATGAAAAGAAATATCAAAGTGATGTTACTATTATTCTAGGTGAAAAATATATAGGTTATTTAAACACTTTCTCCTAAGACACAGAATAAATGAAAGTGAATTAAACGGCAGAAGTCCCTTGATGAAATAACGAAAAGGAAATTATGTCCTTAAGGACTAAATTTTCTCAAAGCTCATCTCAGACTGCAGACAGCCGAGGCTCTGAGGAAACAAGGAGTCATGCAAAATTGATTTATGCCATGAAAACCTCAAAAACAGAAACAAAAATTGTTTGCCAAGCCTAAGTGACCATCTAGACGGAGCGTAAAACAGGAAAATAAAAAAGAGCTCCTACACATTAAATGACACTCAGGATTGTGACACAGGCTGTCGTGCCCCTTCTATCTCAGTGCCCCGAGTTCAGCTTCCATCCCCTCGTGCGCCTGGCACTTCGAAAGTTCCCTCCTCCCGGAAGTGTGTGTGAATGTTAAGACTGAAAAGTTTCTGTTATTTATGAACAGAAATATGCAGTTTTCATATTTACCTTTGAAGATCCTTTGGCTAATTCTACTACTATGTGATGCTTTGCCCACAATAGATCCCAACCATGTGTGGCTGTAATGTCATCTTTTCATTTGTCCCAGGACTTTCTCTTCATTACTACTTGGCACTTACAAAAAAGTGTTTGCTGACCTCTACTGTATACATCAAACTGAGCTGTTATCAAGGGAGCTGAGTTAGTTGGGGTGCTTCGGCATAGAATTGTTCAATCGGAGTCTGATCCCCCTGCTACTTACATGGCTGGGGTACATCCCCTAACATCCCTGAGTGCACCTTGTTTTTTACTAGGTGACAATGACAGGGTTGTTGGGAAGATTACGTGGAGTGATACACACTCCGTTCCACATTCCTTCCCTCCATGTGCCCAGCTCCTGGCCTTCTTAACCCTAATGACACCAGCACCCCAACTAACTCAGCTCCCTTGATTACAGCCCAGTTTGGTGTATACAGTAGAGGTCAGCAAACACTTTCTTGTAAGTGCCAACTAGTAAACGTTTTTGGCTTTGTTGGCCTCTTGTACACCCATTGTAGCAAAAGTAGGCATAAGACACAACCAGATATAGCTATGTTCTAATAAAACAGTATTTGCAAGGCAGTTGGTGGAACACATTTAGCCATGGACCATTGTCTGCCAAATCCTGTATAAATAAAAGGACCACCAGGCGTGGTGATGCATGTCTGTAATTCCCGCCCTTAGCTGGGCTGAGGCAAAAAGATTGCAAATTTGAACCAAGTCTGGGCAACTTAGTGAGCCCCTGTCTCAAAATAAGAACCTACAATGAAATGGTCTGGGATGTAGCTCAGTGGTAGAGCACTTCTGGGTTGGACTCCAAGTACTGGGAAGAAAGGGAGGAAGGAAAGGAGGGAAGGAGGAATCTTAAATACTGCTTATGTGCAAAGGAAGGTATAATTACCATATATGTCCTCTGTCCTTGGAACCAGAATCAGTTTCTTGTCAAATGCCCAAGGAACATTTACACAAGTTGGATAAGCATTAGACCAAGGAAAAGAAAATCTCAATAATTTCCATCAAAAATGCCGATTACATTGTGATTAAATTAAAGATTACATGAAGAGAAAGTCCTGGGAGGCCCTAAGGCAGTGATGGTGAACACTTTAGAGCATTCAGTGATAACAAAGAGCCCGCTGTCACCCCCACTGCCCTGAGGGAACTGGGTGCCAAGCCCGGAGACCATTCACCTTTTCTTCGCTTGCAGGTACGAAATCATGTTCTCTTGCTGGAGCACGGACCCCTTGGACCGACCCACCTTCTCCGTGCTGAGGCTGCAGCTGGAAAAGCTCATGGAGAGTTTGCCTGACTCACAGGACAAAGCAGCCGCCATCTACATAAACACCCCGTTGCCATTGCCGGAGAGCTGTGACGGCCTGGCTGAGGGCCTGGCGCTTGCTCGGCTGGACATGAACATCGACCCCGACTCCATCATTGCCTCCTGCGCCCCCGGGGCCACCGTCAGCGTGGTCAAGGCGGAGGTCCATGAGAATAAACCTCAGGAAGAAAGGTACATCCTGAACGCAGGTAGTGAGGACTGGGACGACCAGGCCGCGGCTCCCTCGGGTACGGCGCCGGCGGGAAAGAGCAGTGTTTTACCAGAGGACACACTAGGACGCAGTGGTGTCTCATGGTCCCATTGTAGCACGCTGCCCTTGGGGAGCACATCCCAGGATGAAATTTTGTTTGCTGATGACTCCCCAGAAGAGTCAGAGGTCCTGATGTGAGCACAGCGAAGTGAAGATGTCCAAGACCAAGTGCATTCTCCTGCCTTAAAAGGATTCGTTTCTGCCTGGTGTTTTTTTGTTTGTTTGTTTGTTTTTTTCCGGTACCGAGAACCGAACTCATGACCTTGCGCTTGCCAGGCAGGCGCTTTGCCGTTGAGCTAAATCCCCAGCCCCTTGCCTGGTGTTTTTATTTGAACTTCGTTTGAGGTATGGGAGATTGAGCCCAAAGCCTTCTTACTAAAGTGCATGCCCAGCCTCTTTTTTTTTTTTTTTTTTTTTTTGAGAAAGGGTCTTGCTAAATTGCCCGGGCAGTTCTCGGACCTGCAATTCTTGTGCCTCAGCTTCCCAAGCCCCTGGGATTACAAGTGTGTGCCACCAAGCCCAGCTGCCTACTGTTTTGAGTACAATATTTGTGTTCTGAACTAAGTAAACTCTATGGCCTTAAAGCACCAGCTTGTCCAATAAGTTTTTAAAAACAAATAATAGGTCTGGGGGTGTAGCTCAGTGGTAGAGCGCATGCTTAGTATGTACGTGGCCCTACATTCCATCCCTGGCACCATAAAAAATAAAAATACATAATATATTTATTTAAAGAGAAAAAATATATGTATATGGTGGAAGAGGACAGAGATACTGTATTTTAATAAAGGATGACCTATTTCACTTATCTTGCAGGTCTTTAAGCTCTTCCTCAGTGCTAACAGTTGTACAAAGTTGGGTTTTTTTTTAAGTTCTTGTTCATAGCTATTAAATATAAAGATATTTGTAAAATGAAATGCCATGTTTGACCTCGCTTCTGGTCTTCATGAGATGTGCCTAGGTGAATCATGTGCTTGATAACAATGGTTCATTTAATGTTTGAAGTTTTATACTTAATTAATTTTCTGATGACTTCCTAATAAAATATGAATGAGAACGTGTCAAACTTTCTTCCAGCTCAGAAAAGCAGTGGTCCAGCAGCCTGAGCACCTTTGCCGAGCCACTCCCTGCGTGGCTGGTTCTCACTCTGACCTTTGTCAGCGCTGCTTTTTAGAGATGTGGAAAAACCACCCAAGGGTCTATAGCTGAGGAATAAACAACACCAAGGGACTGAAAAATATAATCTGATTGGAAAGATTTGCAATCAACTATAGGAGAGAGTCTGACTTGGGCAGGGAAGGGGATAGCCTGGAGCTCACACCCTGCCCTGCCGCTTCCTAACAGCTGTCATTAGTTAAGGACTTGTCATGTTTTGAGTATATTTTGTGAATTGTCCCGTTTCATCTGTGGGTCATTGTACCATGGGCAGCGGTGCTCGTGGCATGGCTGGGCTACGAAACCGAAGCTTCCAGCCCATATCTAGACATATGGAAGAGGCCGAGAGTGGTAGTCAGAATTTAGAACATCTAATGAAGCATCTGATTCAGCTTGCCAGCTTGTCTTTACTAGTCAGCTTGTCTTTACTATAACCAAATACTGAGGTGATTAATTTAGAAAAGGTTTATATGGCTCAGAATTCAGAGACTCAAGTCCTGTTGTTTGGGCCTCCAAAAGATGCTAACAGGTGGCAATGTCAGTGTGAGCCTGTGTCGTGGTGAATGCTTGTGTTACCACCCAGGAAGCAGGGAGAGGATAGGCCAGGGTCACATGACCCCCTGGGCACACCCCCAGCAACTGAGGACCTCTGCAAACCCCCACACTGTTCTTTGGGAGACACTCATCCACCTTAGCAGGGGTCTCCTGCAGAGCTGCTCGACTTCTTCGTTTCATTTAATAAACATAGCAGTGTCACTTGCCGTGTGCCAGTCATAACAACTCTCCCAGGTAGGTACTACTGTTATCCCTGCTCCACGGATGGGCACAGTGAGGCTGGAAGAAACCATCTTACTGTAGGACAGAGGACCAATGCAATCGGTTGAAGTGTTAACTTTCTAGGGCCACTGGCATCCTCAGGACTGTGTGTTCCCACAGGGATCACCCATAGTTCCATGGTTCCACATCTACACAAGGCTCAGGGACTCAGCCTGGGTCCAGGCCTGGCTGCCTGGAGATTGGGCCCTGGACGGGCACAGCCAGGCCAAGATCCGATCTCCAGGGCAGGCTTCTCCTCTGTTACTGTGAAATAGTCCCAGGGAAAATGTGCCCAGGCTTTGGAAAGAATCAGCACTGTTCCAAGAAATGCCAGCATTATATTTTATCAGTGAAAAGCACAGCAAAGATCATCAGCTCCTGTAAAGATGCTTTATACTGTCAAAAATGTCTAAATGGTCATTCTAAACATCAATAAAACTTTTTTATATCACCTATTTGTATAAAGTTTCTTTTTGAAGGTGACTGTCAAGAATTTGAAGAACTTTTCATTTAAGTCTTTTTGCTTCATATATTTTTATTTTAAAGAGAATAAAAAATAACAAAACCATTCCGGTTTTTCCAGGTTTTCAAACCGGATTGTTGGGATTTACTGTTGTTTTTTTTTTTCCTTATTTTGTTTTTCAGCGAGTTTGTTCGGTTTCCCGGTTTTAGGATTGCAGGTTTGTTCAACCCCTTAAGGGGATTAAAAAAAACTAGAAATGATACAGAGCTTCACTAGACAAGATGGTAGGAATTCGCCAATGGTTGTTATATTGCATATTGCTGTCTTCAAATCAGTTGTTCAGATTACCAGATACAAGCTTGTTTAAGTCTTGATCAGGAATTGAGGGTGACAAAGCAAAAAAACTCAATATAGAAAGAATGTTAAAATGTTTATATTTACAAGCTAAATATACAAAGAAAAAATTGGAGGAAAATGTTATTTGGAGGTTTCATATACATTTAATATTAGATGCTGAAACTATTATACTTTGTATTTTATATTTCTACATTTAACATGTAACATTAAAACTATAAAATTAATAGTTCATCAAAAGCCCTGCCGCCACCACCCCCATCCTGTCCAATTGACTCAGTATATTCTGTGTAATCTGGGAACTTGGGCCAGTTCTACCACAAGAAAGTGTAAGAGTTGGTCAAGCTGTGGTTTCTGACTTTTCTTGAAACATCAACAAACATAGCAGAGAAATTCGCTTCATTCCGCATGCAGCAGTGCACCACGGTATCAGTTAAAGGTGGTGGCACACACCTATAATCCTAGCACTTCGGAAGCTGAGACAGGAGGATCACATATTCGAGGCCAACCTGGACCCTGTCTGAAAAAGCCAAACATGGTAAAACAAAACCAAAAAAAGCAGTGGCATGTTGAGAGAACGAAGCTGGACTGCCATGGCTCCATATCCTACTGAGAACTTCAGCTCTGCAGTTTTCTTCTTATCCACAATCCAATGCTTGAAAATTTGGGAAAATTTAACTTTCAACTCATCCAATCATTGGCAAGCTCTTGGATTATCTTCTGAACATAAACAGAAAACAACTATTTATGTTCTCAGTGTATAAACTCACATTAGTTTTGGGAGTGGGTCTTACAAGGAAAAAGTAGAGCACAGGAAACAGGAAGAAACAAGCCTTGTCATTGTCTTCAGCTAAGCTGGAACAAGGGCTGGGGAGGTCAAGAGGACAAGGAAATAAATAAATTCCGGAAATACGCGTGACCTATGGGTTGGGACTTGCTCTGCCTGATGAGAATTTCTCCCCTTCTCCCCTCCCCTCCGCTGCTCTGCCCTCCCTTACCCTCCCCTCCCTGCTTCCCTCCTTCTCCCCTCCTCTTCCCTCTTCCCTTCCTTCCCTTTCCCATCTCCTTCCTCCTCTCTCTCCCTCCTCCCTCCTCATTTCTTTCCCATGTTTTCTGTCTCTTGCTTTTTTGCTGAGAGGACAAGCAAGGACCAAGACATCTGTGAGAAAACCAAGGTGCTCTGTCGCATAAGCCGGGTCGGGTGGCCAGAGGCTGGCCTGGATGGGTTTGTCCTACCAGGTCTTCTCGAGCCTGTGGGCATTTCCTTGAGCAACTGTGCAGGGAAGACGCCTGCATCTTCTCCTGCAACACTCTTGGCAGGAAGTCAGGGGCCGAGGCAGGGACTCCGAAAGAACCTCACTCTTCCCAGTCCAAGGCATTATTCCTTATGCAGTGCAAGGAATGTTTTTTTTTTATTAGAAATACTTTCCCTGATTGTGTTATAGGCTCCTTCCAATGTAAAAGAAACGCACTCAGAGGTAAAAATTAAACAGAGAAAGAGAGTTCGCCTTAGCCCATAGTGCACACAGGAAAGTTCAGTGCAAAGGACAATGGTCCTTGTCGCTCACCTTAAACCCCTGTTGGGCTCAGGAGTGAGCAACTCCCCTCCTTTCTGTGGGCCTTGTCCTGGAGTTAGTGACTGACCGTTCAGGTTATGGCAAACAGTGGAGGCCTCCGCAGCATGTGAGGACCTGCATGGGGACCAGCATGCTATCCTAGCGAGGGGACATTGCCTCTCTGCCTCCATGTCCACCAGACCAAGCACAAGTTCCCCACACAGGAAATGGGCCAAACTACTATGTAATCTTGTGGCCAAACTGGTCCTCATTCATGGACGTCAAGGCTCTGTGACTTCTCCTCTTCAATGGCATAAGCAAGTTGGAACTCTGCTGAGTCAATGGGAAGACGACTGACCCCCAAATAAACCAGCTGCAACAGCAACTCCACTTCTCTAAAGACGTTCTGTGACTTGGGGTGATAAATGGGAAAACAGGAAGTGGGGGGGGCTGTTTAGCAAACACCTCAGTAACACACAATCTTCCCATACTTAGATTTTATTTCCTCTCTTTTAAAGCTCTAACTAAAAACAAAACTACTGTTAGCAGGTGCTGGGTGCCCTGGGTCCATTCCAAGGTTCTTGTCCTGTTCAAAGAATTGGACAAGACACGGGGAAAAACATACAGGTTTTACATTTATTAAAGGTTTTTTAAAAAGTAGAGAGAAGAAGTGCTCTGAAAAGAGGAGTTCTGCAGAGTGAGGATGGACCAGTAGAGTAAGTAAGTCCATCCACAGAGTGCAGAGCGGCCCAGTGAAAAGGCTCACAGCCACCACAAGCTTAACGGCCGATGTCTGTTACACCCCCTTTCTGAGGTCAGATCTGGGTTGTCCATCAAAAACCTTGATCTCAGGCCAGAACTGAAGACAGCACTCTTGGATTGGTATCGGGTGTAGGGCTCAGAAGCTCTTCTGCACATCTGTGATTGACACGTCCTGAGTCTGTGCTTGACAGATCACACTCAATGGCCCAGCCATTTTCCATGCCCTAATCTCCAGCCTCAGTACCATTCTATTTAAAAAGCATGACAAAAAAATAAAACAAAACAAAAAATAACAAGCATGACAAATTAATTTATTGGTATTTAAACATAATAGTTATTTCTAGAAAATGGAAAGCACAGACCATTATTCCATAATATTTTCTTTCTTTCCTTCTTTTTTTTTTTTTTTTTTTTTGAGACAGGGTCTTGCTATGTAGTGCAGGTTGCCCTTGAATTCACAGTGTAGCCCATGCTGGCCTCAACCTCATGGCAAGTCTCCTCTCTCAGCTTTCCAAGTGCTGAGGTTACAGGTGTGAGACACCACACCTGGACAGAATATTTTCATGTATATTATTTTTATTAAAATATACAGGGGCTGGGGATTTAGCTCAGCGGCAAAGCGCTTGCCTGGCAAGTGCAAGGTCGTGAGTTCGGTTCCCGGTACTGGAAAAACAAACAAACAAACAAACAAACAAAAAATATATACATACACTTGAAAGGGATTTGAGAGGCAGGCATGGAGATAAACCCAGTGCTCAGGAGGCTGAGGCAGGAGGAACATGAGTTCAAGGACATTCTGGGATACATAGTGTATTCAAGACTGGTCTGGACTATATAGGATTTTTTGGGGGGACAGGGTCTTCCTATGTAGTCCAGTCTAGTCTTGAACTCACTATGGAGCCCAGGCTGGCCTGGAACTTGTGGTAATCCTCCTGCCTTGGCTTGCCAAGTGCTGGGATTACAGGCATGTAATTACATGCTGGGATTACCAGCATCTGGCTTGGCCTGGCCTACATAGTGAGACTCTGTCTCAGAAAAGAAAAGATGAGGGGAGAAGAGAAGAGGAAGATGGGAGGGGGTAGAAAGTTGAGAATTATGTACATTAGCCCTTCCTACCCATTAAAAACATGATAATTTTTAATTAACTTATTGAGACTGCACAGTTATAAATTCTAACCAAGAAAGTATTTTCAATCAGCAGTCATTTGAGGTCACATACAATCAACTTAGTCATTCACAAATATCCACCAAGAGGAAGGCTCTGTTCTAAGCTTTGGGATCTTGCAAGCACGGAGAACCTAGGCCTTGCAGTCTTGATAACAGAGCAGAGGAAGAGATGGACGGCTTCAGACGAGTCCTTTTCTTGTAAAGAATGTTCCTCCAAATGCTCTGACTGGCATGTTTAGCTGAAGTCCATTAATGCCACGAAGCAGACCAGCCAAGCCTGCAGGTGCTGTTTAGACAATAAAGAACCTCAGAACTAGAAATCAGTTTCCTTCCCTGAAGCAAGCTCTAAGGCTTTGCCCTGTGTGACTTAAAATTGAAAGGCCCTCGGCTGGGTTTGGAAAATCCAAATTCTATGACCCCATTAACAGTCTGAGCAGGTAAAGGAATGTGGGCTGTTGCTTTACCCCATGACTCCTAGTGACTTCTTTGAGCAACAACAAAAAAATCATAGCTCTCTGCTTCCTTGTCATTCATAGTTCATGGGGCATTGTCATTAATGATCTGGCTTCAAGTTTGCTGATTTTTTTTCTTCTATCAGTTCACATTTGTTGAGCCCCTTTAGTGCGTTTTTCATTTCAGTTATTGAACTTTTTTAACCCTGGAAGTTCCATTTGCTTATTTTAATAACTTCCACGTCTTTATTGATAGCATGTGTTTGGTTGGGGGTTTTGGGGAGAGTTGTTTGGCTCATTGGTTGATTTTTTTTTTTGAGACAGCATCTTGCTTGCAGCCTGAGCTGGCCTTGATCTTGGGATCTCCTGCCACTAGGATTACACCATGCTTAGTTTTCTACTTGATTTTAAATTAAAAATATTTAAAACATGGTTTTCTTTAGTTCTCTGAACATGTTTATTAATAGATACTCTTTTGTAATGAAGTATTTGCTAAATTGAACATCTAAGCTCCTATCAGGACAATTTGTATTGGCTGTTTTTTTGCCCCATGTATGTGATAACATTCTTGTTTACTTGAATGTTTCATATAGTGTTTTAAAACTGGGTATTTCTAATCACATATTACAGAAACTCTTCATTCTTGTGTTGTCTTCTTCCAGAGGTGGCTGTGTTTCCTGCTCGTTTGTGTAGTGAC